TAGACTTAACCCGACGAAATAACAAATTATATTCACCCTGCACGTTATATCCACGATTTCATCATAGTGTCACTTGGATCTTGTTATACAGTATCTATTGATGGGTTCTACTGCGGTAGGCAGTTTGTGAAAGTCTTAACCCGCCCGCTTCGGTAGCAAAGTCGAAAGATAAAAGCCACACAAGCCTCTATTTGGTGAGAAAGCTCTCATCGCCCCATTTGTGCTATTTGTCTACCAAAGACAACACGAAAAAATCTCAGTACCTATGTTTTTTTAAACATACGGTTTAGAAAAAATCTCTTCCGATCTCAAAATTTTACCGCAGAAAAATACTGATTTCTATCTCATTTGGTGAGAAAGCTCTCCGTGTATTTTAATTAAACATAATCTCTTCCTAGTATCTCACATTTTACCGCAGAAAAATATCTGAACCTATCTCAGCTCTCAATAAGGCCAATGCACGTAATTAGAGTCTGCCATTTATCCAAAGATCGGTAAATTTAAATACACCGAATCGCATTAACTACCGCTGAATTCAATCATCTTAAGATGAACGAGGCTCCTCGCATAATCCGCTAGGCAACGCGTGACTTTCATCTAAAAATGTGGAAAAAATATAGGTATAGCTTCAAATTATTCAATTTAACATAATTACAACTGATAATTAAGGTAATACTTTGAGGTTTTAGTAATCTTTGCAATGATGTTTCACTTAATAGACTCAACACTACAGTAGCATTGCGGATTTCTAGACTATATCCATTTGGGACGCTTTTTATAGTTGCATAAAGCTTTAAAAAAAAAACCACAGAGCTTCTTTTAAAATATTTATAATAAGACAAAGCTGATGAAGACGACATAGTTGATCAAGAATATGAATACAAATCATCAATTTAAACAAGCACGATTTTGAAGAAGCAGCACTGATCAGCAACTTAAAAATTTCTTTACTTGGGTGCATATTCTGACTGTTTATTATTCGTAAAACTGCAACCTTTTGTGGCAACCTCAGAAATGGGAAAGTAATGAACTACTTGTCCATTGCAGTGTGCTCATATTCTCAGGGAGGAGAAACAATTATCAGAGTTTGGTGGACATACCGGAAACCGGGGAGCAGACATGGGGGACAACGAGCTGTAGACGAGTGAGGTGCGAGATGCAGAAAATGACCAGTCTAGGCAAACAGAAGAGACTTATAGAAGGGGGACAAGACCCCAGGATCAAAGGAATAAGGGCGTGAAACGACCGTGACGGGTGAAGCATTAAATGACGACTCGAACCAGTGAGACATGAGGGATACCCAACCGGAGGGAGAAGAGGCAAACCTCTCAATCCACTGACTGAGAAGGGACCACACTTTCAGGTTGACGTCAACGACAGGGAAACCGCCAAAAAGGGGGGACTGAACGACACGTGAACACGAAACTAAGTCACGCTTACCAGACCAGAAGAAGGAAAAGGACAGGCAGGAGAGCTCTTTCGGGACCCAGGGAGGCATATGGATGAGTGAACCACTAGGGCCTTGCCACGATAGAAGGAGAGAACGAGAACGCCACGATCTGAGTACACGGGCAACCGCATCGATCCTTCGACGCCAATTGTTTTCCTCTAGGTTTCCGGTACCAATAAAGACGCCAAAGATTTTGAGCCTGGACGATGACCAGTCCAGGGCAACTGGGTCGGAGCAGCCACATCAACGGATCAACCAAAGGCCTTTTGAGCTTGGAACCCGAAGCCTTCTCAAACAGGGCATACGTCTCAAACGCTGCTACCATGGCGTCATCAGATGTTTAGACGAGAGCCGTTTGGTCGGCATATTGCGAGATGGGCGGAAGGGGCGAGGAGCCGGGTTGACAAGGACCAGAGATGTGCGGATTACAGCGGATGTTCACAAAAAGGACCTCAGAGACTAGAATATACAGGAAGGAAGACAGTGGTATCATTGCCAAACCCTGCAAGACAGTTCGAAAAAAGCGGAGAGGTACCCAATGACGTTAACAGCGTTCCTTACGCGACAATAAAACAGTTAGACCCAAGAAATAGCTGACACCACTGCGCTGAGAGAGAGTAAGGCAACCAGTAACAAGGCAAGAATTAAGCATACCTCAGCCTGAACGCCTGCGAGGGCGGATGTTAAATTATCCAAGAGCTCCGTCTGAACCAAGAGGTCAGTTGGAGAAGCAGGAAAAAGATCAGAGAAAAATAAAGGAATGCAAAAGTGCAACAAAGAGCAGACGAAGAAGAAACAATGGAGCTATCACTATCTCTAAGGGCAGAGATCCACATATCCGCACCGCGCTTCCTCTCCAAACAAAAAAAGTAAGCTGAAGAAGTTTCGCCCTCTTCCACCGGATTTGGACCATAACGGGCAATGAGCCCTGCCTGGTGGCACCTAAAGAATTTGCCTTTATTAGAGCAGGCCGCAGACTTATGCCCTTTACGGCGGGACACATCGCAGAAAATCGGTTAGCCTTTGTACTAAACTTTACACCGTATTCCATTTATGGAAACGAAGCGGGGGATTTCCTTCTCGCGTGGGGGGATTTCCTTCTTCTTTTCCTTCTTCGCGTACCATGCGCACAACCCGAGATCCAGAAAAAACATCTGGCATGCCGCGCCAGGTGTTTACTTTCCCAAACTTCTTCATTTCGGAAACAATGTCTTCATTTTCTCCCTCGAAAGGGAAATAATAAACAACAACATTTATATACGGGGAGGGGGGAAATAACCTCTCACTCCACCCCGTTTAGAGTGACAGAGCCAAGCTCCGCGCGCTTTGGCCGCTTTGGCTGCTTCACCACCCTTATCAAAAGTGACCCTGGCCACACGGCCAGGAAGCAGCTGCATTGAAACAATCTTGTACTACGAGACGGCAGCAAAATAGGTTTTAATGTCACCTACAATGTCTACTGACTATGTCTCCGTAGGGAAAACCCACATCGGATGTCAATGGAGCGAGCCATTGGCACGCCTATACTGACGGAAAAAGCAGAAAAAGGGGAAAAAGGCCCCAAAAGGGACAGACCCCAAAGGGCTGAACCTTGCGACGCCCCAGCTCATAATGAGATGGGTGACCATTACTAACGAACATGAAGCTCGAAGCACAGATGGCGTTCAAAAAACGCCGAAAAACAGAAAAAACCTGGTCGGTACTTACGAAGGCATGACAGAATAACAAAATTACATTATTTTATAAACAAAGAAGACGGACAGTATATGTTTGGAATTTCTTTCTAAAAAGCAACTCTTCTGAAGATTGGTATGACTAATTATTAACGATAAGATGTTCATAAAAGTTTATTATGTTTTGGAAAGTTATCTTTGTATACGAACATAATATAATTTGCATTCACTTGACTTCGTTATGTAATGAAGCTTTTTAGTTTTTTTGTGGTGAGCAAGTTTTATGGCCCTTTGACAATTATGACAATTGCAATTTCACAGCAGTATTATCAGGGTAATATAACACACGCGAAAAAAAGAAACGAAATAAAAACAGTCACAAAGGTCCATAAAAGAGTTGATGATTACATGAAAGAAAAATCGAATCCGATCGTCACTTCGTAAAATACTTCAATCTCAAGTCAGCTTTCCCTTATTTTGTTATAGGTGGGCGCTATAGAAAATTCCAGCCTTGTTTTCCAAGTCTAGCGATAAAGCCCAGTCATAAGAGGCTATGGAGGAATCATGTTCGGAGCCAAGACAACTGAAATTCTCTTCAGCGGCTGTCTTTAGTGAGACGGATACTTCGGCTCACCAGTGGAAGGATTCTCCAATGGAAGTGTTGTCAGACATGTTAATGGAGAAGAAGTTACGACTTAGAGAGCATTTTAACCAAGAGACATAACATAGAGCACTTCTTTTGTTTTTTCTAATGCAATGCTTCCGTAAGCAATACTTTAAAAGCTAAAGTCAAGCTCTGAAGGCCGTTGAAAGAGGTGATAGAAGCCTTCTACCTCATATATCTGCCCTCTAGTTAGCTTTTTTTGGATCCATGTCAGTATCTCAGCAACTGCACACCTACGCCTCACCTATTAGGCATATTGTTTGGTCAGGGGAGGGGTAGGTGCGCAGTAACCCAGATAGTGACGTTGATCCAATTTTTTTCTCAGCTGTTTGCTTTCCTGTCTGCCTTGTTCTGCATCTATACCACTGTTCAAAATTTACACTGGTGTTTATGATAGTATTGATGCAACTTTTCCCTCATTTAAAATGTAGATTTACCTAATGAGTAAGTTACACCAGCTTTAATTGTTGTTCATTTGCAACTTATGGTTGTGAAATGGTTGGACGTTAATTTACTTCATGAATTTATGCATGCAGAGCATTGTATACCCACGAGCTGCAGCATAAATGCAGGCTATTATGAACAATAGAATAGAAAGTATCTGTAACACGGCAGGAAAGTAAATGTGACAGAACTGCAAGATAACCTAGGCAATATTTTGTTTGTGTTGATGTTGACGACTCTGTATTAGGAATGCAACACTCTCAAACCTGACATACCATAATAATAGCAGTTTCGTTTTCTGTGGTCGAATGGAGATAAATGACCCTTCAGGTTTGTGGCCCAAAGTTTATATGTACAAACATTTATGAACAGTCAGCCTGTTCTGTTCTGTGCTTCATTAAGAAAGGGGGGAGGGGTGGGTGGAAAAGATGAGGAGTTGGTGACGTGAAAGAATGCAGAAAATTATTTCTTTGGCAGTGGGGGGTGGGGGGTTGGATGGAAAAGGAAGGGAAACAATCCCTATGGTAGTTCGTCAACATATATTTGAAACTCTGACAAAGGGCTAACGCTTGAAACGTCAACTTTGAAACTCTTAACGGTGGCCAAATTATGTTATAAACTCAGCTAATAATAACACTAATTATTAATAACACTAGACCACCCTGTTATACTCTTTCACCGACGCAGCACCACAGTTTCTTTAGAAACTTACCCCCTTTATATATTTCAAACTGATTTGCATATGTGTTCGACATCAGAAGTGGTCAAAATTTATTTTAATAACAAACATACAAATAAACAAACCAAAGAAAAAATTAATACTTATGATGTATATGGAGCTGATACTTAGGAATATCAGTATGAATTAAACACCAAGGACTGACCAACTGGATGGTCAACCTTGGTGCTGAATACTCTATCTCAGTCTCTGACTGATGTAGATGACGATCTTAATAACCTTAACAATTTTAGCACGATGACATCAAAAGCTCTCTAAGTTATTGTTATGAATTCTCTTCATCTCTGTACCATTCTTGTATTCGTTAGAAATTATTAAAATCAAAGGCGCAAAAAGCTGGCCAAAATATGCCGGCAAACGATGGTATATAACGCGAGTTTGGTCTGCCTGTGGCAAGACTACCATGATCATATGAATATAACTGCTGTCCTAAACGTTTACAAAGCAGATGCCTTGCGCACTAACAGTGACTATATATAATGCCTAAAACTGAAATTCCCATAATAACATTTTATTTAGAGCAAAATGACCATTTGAAAACTGATTAAATCAGTGCAACACGAGACCTAGAAAAGAATATAGAACTAATTTGGTATTTAAAAAAAAAAACATAGAACAAGGCATTTATAACTCCTGTTTACAAAGTAGGATGCCCTCTTTACCTCTCGAGGCACTTGTTTAATTAAAGCAAACGCATCAAAACAAAGTCGGTTTAAACTCTTTATACCAAATTTACTACACTGTGGAATTGTTTTTTGTGACGAACGTGCTATCAATTGACGTTTCTTTTTAAGAATTTTACGCACTTCAAAATTCTATGAAAACTACTTCAAAACAACGCTGACCTCTTTAAAATGTTTTTTACTGATTATCATATTCTTCTAAAAGCTTGGCAATGTCACTTCTCCTGGCAATTTTTCTCAACACACTTTCAAACTCGGCAACTGTTAGCTGTTCGTGTGAAGCTGCCAAGTGTTCCAAGAGGGCTTTTGACGGTCCGTCAGTGTGCTTTTCGTAAACTGCGGTCACTTGAAAACTGTCGATACCATAGTATGAACAAACATGGCGATAGTCACCAACACCCGGCCTACTTGAGTCCAGACGGTTACATATTTTCTCAAGTAATGGCCTAATTTCCAGCAAGCTGCTAAGGGGCTTCGAGTCTAAAACAAAGAGAGAATTTGAAGATACTTAATATTTAATGTGCTTACACTGCACCGCAATAATAGAAGTAGCAGATTGTTATGTTATAATCTTAATTATTTATGCATTTTGATAGGTTCTTTAATTTTGTTCAATCGCAGGAAAGACGCATAGATAAAGTCACCACAAGCGACACTATACTTTTTCATCATACAGAACAAATATCTTCCATGTTGCCGTGAGTCTGCATAGTAATAGATCATCATAAGATGACGTCAACGTGTGGAAAATTAAATGTTTATGTGGTGAGGGGAAAGATTATTCGAAGGAGATGGTATAATTATTAAAAGATTTAAGTGACAGTTTTTCATGATAGTAGGCATAGCTACGACGATGGCGATAAAGATGACTAAAATACCTTGACGAGTTTTTGATTGTTCGTCTAAGTTGCCACTGTCACCTTCTTCTGATGTTGGGGACTTCGAGCACCCAGATGCACTTTTGCTGCGTCTAAGAGTAGATAAGGTCACCTCGAGACCGTCACTTTTTCCATATCTTTGACGTGGAAAATTCACCAACTGTGATTTATTCAAACCTAAAACGTTCACAAATGGAATCAGCACAGTTTGTCAATTTGCCAATATCAAACTGTATTTACTCTATTTATTCTATACATGAAAAAATTTCAGCATACTGACAAGCCAAGAACACGTGAATTAACACCACACATTGCAGAAAATTGAAATTGAGTGCGAAACTTTGAATTGATTAACAAGAAAGTCGCGAAAGCACAACCAAACAAAATGGCGGACGAGTGAAGAGAAACTAACCACGCTGAGTTTGAGGAAGAACGCAAAAAGCAAAGACACCCAACAAAGGAGAAAGAGCACAAACACTTGATTATTCGTAACAGAGAGTTTAAAAGCGTGAATCAAGTTCTTGAGAGAAAAGCCTGACTACTCTGGCAACAAGACAAAGACAAGCTTATTCGTAGGAGGTGTTATCTTATAGATTTAACCACAGCTTCTCATGATAGTTGCTATAGCTGCGTTGACGATGACGAAGATACCTTGAGGAGTTTTTGGTTGTTCGTCTATGTTGCTCCTGTCACTTTCTTCTGGAGCTGAGGAAGTCGAGCATCCAGCTGCGCTGTTGGAGTGCGCACGAGCATTTGCCGGCTCGATCGACCCCTAAAAAGAGCAAGTTAAAGTTGTAGAATCGCTCGGATACCGGAAAATCATGTCCATGAATACTGAATTAAACAATTTTAATATTAAGAGATCCTCGCAGCTAAGAACACTACTGAAAGAAGTTGTAAACTACTGAAAAAAACGAGTAGTTGTAAATAGGATTTGAACCCAAAACCTCTGCGATGCCGGCGCAGAGGTCATTTCAAACCCATGACCTCTGCGATACTGGCAGTAGTGTTCTTAGCTGCGAGGATCTCGTAATTTCATCTCTCCACCGCAGTGCAAATATATGAATTTTCATATATCTAAATCATCAATTTTAATATTCAAAACGGTTATCGGTAAAACAAAAAAACCGTTTTAGACTAAAATTACAGTTTTATATACCTTATTCGTACTTAATTTACGTGTATATGATTTCGCAAATTTCGGCGAGACAGTATTTCGCAGGGATTTATTTTCGATATCAATAGGAAAATATGAAAATAGGACATTGAATTTCGCGATTCAAGCGTTTTAATTTTCAAAATGTCTGAACTTTTTAAAATTCCAAGATAAACTGGAACAAATGTTAAAATATTACATGAAAGTTATGAATGAGAACTACAAGAGACGAGTTAATGGCAATTTTGAGGACTGCATGAAAGATGTTTTCAAGAATTTGTATAAATTTTGCGATTCACGTGAAGATGATTAACATTAACATTACACAAAAGCATTTTCATTCCCGAGTCTTCAATTTCGCGATCTTTTATAATCACGAAGAACGCGAAATTAAGATTGAGTGTGAATAAGGTATTTGGTAATTATTATTAGTGGCAATTATTATTAGTGGCGATTGTAACTTTACAGAAAAAAAGTTGAGCTGAAAGCTACATCAAATTTGGTTTGATTTTATGTTTTGTCTTTTCTTGTTCGTTTTTTCCTCTTTTATTTTCAAAGACGACTGTGACCTATCTTACTGACTTTATTCGAAATCAGATCGTGTCAGCTACATACAGTATTACCTCCACAAGCGGATAACCAGGGTTCACGTAGATTGTATGTGCTGTTTCATGGCCCTCTTGTTGGAACGTTAGATTACAAGTAAACGGTTTTACTTCTCGACCTTTCATTGGTTTAACTGCAAAAACACACGCATCTTTACATCGAAATCTACCGCCGTGGGAATCATCGCAGATGTACATCTACAACGAATGACAGATTGAGAAATATATTGTATCAATCGGGAGTAAAACGCTTTCAATAAAAATTCACAAAGAATAAGAGGTCCTTTAAAGTGCATTGTTGAGACAGCTACTTTCAGAGGTAATCAGAAGGCCACATAATCGACAACTCAGGAGTTTCTTACTGTATGCAATGTATATTGAGTAGAAGATCGTCGACCAAATACCAAGGGCCTTTTAAGCTCAATTCAGATTATCAGAGACAAAAATGTTTTATTGTAACTCATGACTGAGCCCAACCCTTTGTTGATTTCCTCACCTGTTCACCAGCTGTCTTGTCTAATTCCCAGCCCTCCTCAGGATCCGTCACAAGTTTCACGGTTATATTTTTGCTGTTGTTGTACATTTTGAAGGGTTTCTCCATTCCTTTCCATGAGTGAGGAAACAACTCTTTATCTTGCGTCTCCACTCGCTTGTAAAGGCAAAAAATATGGATCAGCTAGGTGGTACATCGTGCAATAACAAGAGTGACTAGCTGAAAGGGCATCATTCTTTGAATTTTAGATGAAACCTTATTTTTAATATTTTGTCAGACAAATGCAACTCACTTACCAAATAAAGGAATATGACTGGGTGACAGCACACTGTAACACCGGAAAATTTATAAATTGCTGGGTAGATGCACACAATTGAGTTGCATCCGCACAACAGGAGTAACAACACTCCTTGTCGCTTCATTTCCATGAGAGTAGGTTAAGAACAAACAATAAGAGGCTAATAGACTTCTATGTACATACTCGTGCTTTCATCTAACTGTAGAACGTCAGAGCTGAGTCGCAAACTTACTTTTCAGTGATATAATGGTCGAGCACATTAGCCTGGGAATAAATATATGAATGAAGGGAAGCAAATATGGTTCATATCTAATCAGAGAGGAGGATTATGTATCTTGTGGTAAAAAACAACCAATCATATGTCAAGATTTGTATCGATGATGGCGATTTGATGTAAAGCAACCATGGTAGTGCCCTCGCACATTACTTTAAAGAATCACATGGATGAACCAATGAACCAGTGATCATGATATGACGCGATATGATATTGAATCATGAGTAGTGCAAGTTCAAGCCAGTTATCAGTGGAAATGCCTCATTGCCACACTGTATGTGGGTAAAATATTGGAAAGAATACTTCTGTCTAAAACAACTGATTGACACAGTCGGTTGCATTTTGTGGATGCCTTGCATTCAAACAAAAGAAAATCCTATTTAAACGATAACTTACCCTCAGTGAATCCTTGTTGTCACTGTAAATGTAGAATCTGAATTGAATGAGATCACCTCCGGGATTTGGTTTACTAGCAAACACTGTGGCTCTTTTCTTTTTCGGTGCCCCGCGACGAAAATATACGCACCAGAAACAGAATGTCATGGTATTGATGTGAATGGAGTCCTCTTTTGCTGTGAACCATGCTCTAGACAGATCATTTCTTTTGGATTTGTTGGGGATTTTCTCCCACTTGATGGGACCTTCAATCAAACATTGATGACAAAATCGTCAGTACAGTAACAGCATAACGAAGATCAGTCCTATCTACCCGAAAGAGAAGGGAGTAAAAATTATGCAGGTAGAATAAATAAGAGGGATTACTCTGCAGTGGAAATCCACAAGGTTCCTCTCAAGATTAGGGTTACGTTAAGTCGAATTGAAATTTGGGTCTTGGTTTTTGCGAAAGAAGGAAAATCAGAAACACAGAAAAAACGTCTGGGAGTGTGGAGGAGAAGCACCAAAAAACTTAACCACATGCGACGCCAGGTCAGCGAATAGAAACCGGGCCACAGCGATGGGAACTGAAAGCTCTTATCTTCTTTGTAACTCCATGCCCTGCTCAAACTCCGAACATGTAAGGCTTACAAAAGTGTGAGTCCTCAAGATCTTAAATCTTAAATGTATTTCTTTGAATTCAGCTGAAAATACTCAGCCCAGGGATTTCTCGATTACCTGGGTCAGTTCTGTAGACAGTTATCCATTCCTTTTTAGCTTTGCCCATATAGAGGCAATGTGGAATTATAATCTCCGAAGGCTTTAAAAGTCTGATATCGTGTGGTCCGCACTCAATCACGGGGGAAATGAGTGTTTCATCAGGTCCAACGGGGATATCCTGCAACAGCTCTGTTGTGTCGTAGACCACACGGTAGAAGACTTCCTGGCTGACGCCAATCGGTATTGCGCCGTTTGCAATACATATTTTCACGTCCGAGTCATGAGTAGCGCTCAGCTCACCGCCGGAACTGTCGAATATGTCTTTCACTTCAAACCCGTTGGGTAAACAGTCACCTTCGTTGCCGTCATTTGGACCAACTTGATTTTCCCGAAGATTTTCCTCATTCGTGACCTTTAAAAGGAAACAAACCTAGTAAACCAGTGTTTTGAATCAAACATTAAATATGTCACCCAAAAATTAAATGAGGTAATTCAAAATACCCTATTAAAAAAAGAAAAATGAAACCAACACCAGCATTAAATTTTATTACACTTCCCATAGTTTCAAACAAATGCCTGATTATTTTGGAATAATTTATAATCGCTTTTTTACTTTTAAGTTTGCTAAACCAACATTTTAGCCTCTTTGAAACATCCTCAACTTAAGTTGAGTAAAAGTTTCAAGACACACCAGCTGTTTTGTTTTCTTTTGTTTTGTTTTTTCACCTAATTTTTTAAGGTAGCTTTTACTTGTACTTCAGACATCCACATGCTCAGGTCCCAGCTTTTTCAGACGAATCTCCAGTGCACGCTTATAGCAGCCTTTTGCTTCATCTGTGTCGCCAAGATCACTGTGTAAAGTACCCAGATTGTGGTAAGAGGTTGCAACATGAACATGCTCAGGTCCCAGCTGTTTCATCTGAATCTCCAGTGCACGCTTATAGCAGTCTTTTGCTTCATCTGTGTCACCCAGATCACTGTGTAAAGTACCCAGATTGTTGTAAGACCTTGCAACATGAACATGCTCAGGTCCCAGCTGTTTCATCTGAATCTCCAGTGCACGCTTAAAGCAGCCTTTTGCTTCATCTGTGTCGCCCAGATCACGGTGTAAACTACCCAGATTGTTGTAAGAGGTTGCAACATGAACATGCTCAGGTCCCAGCTGTTTCATCTGAATCTCCAGTGCACGCTTATAGCAGTCTTTTGCTTCATCTGTGTCGCCCAGATCACTGTGTAAAGTACCCAGATTGTTGTAAGAGCTTGCAACATCAACATGCTCAGGTCCCAGCTTTTTCATCTGAATCTCCAGTGCACGCTTATAGCAGTCTTTTGCTTCATCTGTGTCGCCCAGATCACTGTGTAAATTACCCAGATTGTTGTAAGAGCTTGCAACATCAACATGCTCAGGTCCCAGCTTTTTCATCTGAATCTCCAGTGCACGCTTATAGCAGTCTTTTGCTTCATCTGTGTCGCCCAGATCACTGTGTAAAGTACCCAGATTGTTGTAAGAGCTTGCAACATCAACATGCTCAGGTCCCAGCTGTTTCATCTGAATCTCCAGTGCACGCTTATAGCAGTCTTTTGCTTCATCTGTGTCGCCCAGATGACTGTGTAAATTACCCAGATTGTTGTAAGAGCTTGCAACATCAACATGCTCAGGTCCCAGCTGTTTCATCTGAATCTCCAGTGCACGCTTATAGCAGTCTTTTGCTTCATCTGTGTCGCCCAGATCACTGTGTAAAGTACCCAGATTGTTGTAAGAGCTTGCAACATCAACATGCTCAGGTCCCAGCTGTTTCAGACGAATCTCCAGTGCACGCTTATAGCAGTCTTTTGCTTCATCTGTGTCGCCCAGATCACTGTGTAAAGTACCCAGATTGTTGTAAGAGCTTGCAACATCAACATGCTCAGGTCCCAGCTGTTTCATCTGAATCTCCAGTGCACGCTTATAGCAGTCTTTTGCTTCATCTGTGTCGCCCAGATCACTGTGTAAAGTACCCAGATTGTTGTAAGAGCTTGCAACATCAACATGCTCAGGTCCCAGCTTTTTCAGACGAATCTCCAGTGCACGCTTATAGCAGTCTTTTGCTTCATCTGTGTCGCCCAGATCACTGTGTAAATTACCCAGATTGTTGTAAGAGCTTGCAACATGAACATGCTCAGGTCCCAGCGTTTTCAGACGAATCTCCAGTGCACGCTTATAGCAGTCTTTTGCTTCATCTGTGTCGCCCAGATCACTGTGTAAATTACCCAGATTGTTGTAAGAGGTTGCAACATCAACATGCTCAGGTCCCAGCTGTTTCATCTGAATCTCCAGTGCACGCTTATAGCAGTCTTTTGCTTCATCTGTGTCGCCCAGATCACTGTGTAAAGTACCCAGATTGTTGTAAGAGCTCAGGTTGCAACATCAACATGCTCAGGTCCCAGCTGTTTCAGCTGTATCTGAATCTCCAGTGCACGCTTATAGCAGTCTTTTGCTTCATCTGTGTCGCCCAGATCACTGTGTAAAGTACCCAGATTGTTGTAAGAGCTTGCAACATCAACATGCTCAGGTCCCAGCTTTTTCATTTGAATTTTTAACAGCCATTTACCATAGACTAGCGCCGCTCTAAACTCACTGTGGTTTAGGCACATGTTAGTAAGGCTCCAAAGGCCATCCGGAAAATTACACAAGGCTCTATTGGTCGCTTCTGGTATTCCTTTCCCGAGTGACATGTCTTCAATTTTTAAGCTCAACGTTTTAAGATGGGGAACTATTCTTGTTCCCACAACAATAGATTCCAGCTCTTCAAATTTTGAGAAAGACATTACCGCGCCATACACCACTTTGTAGCTTTGATCCTTTGCGAAACCTTTTGTCGCAGATTTAATAACATCAAGAACGACACCATGGACTCGAATATAAACACCAGTTGATTCTTCTTCAATTAGCAACAGTGAACATCGACTCATCCTCGTTCTTATCATATCTTCATCTTCAAATTCGTCATCAGTTGTTTTAACATACTCGATAATAATGTCTTGCAGTATCGGCTGTGATGCACACATTGAAAGAAAAAGGAACATGTGATGCAAAATTATATCATTTTCCATCACCATTTCGACAGCGAGTGTTATTGCTTTGGTCATGGTCTGCGGATAGGCTGGATTTGTCGCAGCAAGAATGCTTTCAGTATTGCTTCGTTTCCCCTCTTCCAATTTCTTCAAATAGTCGGTCCAGCCAAATTTCGAGGTTCCTTTATTCTGACGAACTTGTCTCACATACGTGGCTGCAGCTGCCAATGAAAGTGGCTGGTAGTCTAGTTCTTTCGCAATTTCTTTTTCCATCTTGGCATCTGAGATACCAGAAAGGAGGTTAAGCAGAAAGCACGCATCATCAGGTTGCATTCCTGCGCTGATTGAGATATTTTGTATGGAAGAGCTTGACAACGGTATAGACGCAGTGTCTTTTGTTGTTATTAGCATCTGACCCCTTGCCCACAACTCGCTGTCTGCATCTGGCAAATAATCGCTTGTACGAGATTCGCTGGTCACATTATCAACTACTAACAGCCATGAAGCGTAATGCTCAATTTTTGTACTTATTAAGGTCTTGAAATATGAAATCTTCTCGTCTGTGTTCAAATCCTTGGAGCGGTAAGTGTTTGTTATTTCATACCCGGGACAATTGCAATGTTGAGCGAAAAGGACATACGATTTCAAGAGTGCTTCTGAGTTTTCAGCATTCAACGTCATGACAAATGAAGCTGCGGAAGGTATTTGTTCGACCTCGTCGTAAAATCGCCTGGCTGCTAAACGGGCCAGCTGAGATTTTCCACTTCCTGGATTTCCTGACAAATACAGTATGCTCAACCCATCATTGGCGTCTTTTAGTGTTTGGAGGTTTTGTAAAACTTCACCAACTTCAGATTCCCGACTAGCGATGTCGTGGCTAGGTTTGGGAGGGAGAATACAAAATGGAGAGACATCGAAATTTAATTGCTCTTCTAGGGCAAGCCTCTGTTCTTCTTTCACTTGAAGTTCTTCTTCTTTGTCTTTAACTTCTTGTTTCAAGTCGTCAACCTTCCTTAAAACTTCGTTTAACTCCTCCGTTAAGAAGTTTGTCTGATTTTGAACTTCGTTGATTTCCAATGACGGGAGACCGAGTGCGTGGAATGCAGTTTTAACCTTTGTAATGACAGTTTGGAAATCTCCGTTGGAGAGGTGGCCCCGAGGCATATGTGCAAATTCTTCATTTCGAAATTTCCTTAAGTCGTCCGCATTTGATCTAATTGATGGATTGAGAGAATATATGCAATCTGAATACAGGATAGCGTAAAACAGCATGGTACAATCCCATTCAGCTCTATCGCCATTCTTCATGGTTGTCAACAGCCCAGCGTTTCTTTTTCTGTTTCGAGTAGACTCGCCATTCCAGAAGTCCATTCCATTTTTGGGTTGATCTTTCCATTCTCCCAGTGTTGTCTTGTATCGATTGTCCCATTCTTGTTTGAAGATGGTTCGCAGACCCTCAGTTAGTATGTCAGTGACAACGTAACAAATCCTGTAGTAATTCAGTTGCTCTGTGGTGTACTTCAACCCAGTGGCCATTATCAGTTACATCCTATTAAAACCATAGTTATGTTAGTACCCAATTCGGTTATGTGAGTAGGTCGCTATACTTTTGCTGATCCTTTAACGGTTTTGTGGTACTTGGTGTGAATATTTATTTACCTACCAAGATATTTTCGCTGATACATGTCAATTATATTTTAGAGAGGAAGTAAGGGCAATTGAAAAACTCTCGCTTTCAAAACAATTTGCTCGATGGAGTCAAGGGCTAATAAAAGGGAGGAAAAGAGAGTGGTAAAGATCCACTGTCACTCATAACTTAAACGTCAGTATAATACAGAAAAGTGTTCAGAGCAACAAGGATACGGTTTATATGTGAAAGAAACCATCTTCTTGCTTCCTTATTTGTTAATTTGTTTCTTTCTTTCAGTGTTCACTTGGTTCCACGATAGGTATTTTTCGAGACACAGTCGACCTGAAATATGGAACTCGACAGATCTCACATGATTTGGCCCCTTCGCATATTAGAGAGAAAAAATTAGGTTAAAATGTTGACACTGAATCACTCAGCCCAAGAACAAAATTACGCAGGGAACTCATGGTCGAAGTCAATGACAAGGGAGTTTTTAAGCTGTACGATTATCGTCTTCTGCTGAGCTGGTAGTTTTTTTCAGCTTGTGAAGTAATTGGTGATGGTAATCTTACAAAAGCTAAATTGCAAGTCTCCTAACATCAAGGATCACTTTTCCCTTAGTTCAAGCATGCTGATGGGATCAAGAACACTGCAAGGTAGTGAGAGGGTGGCCTACGTGGGAGATAAGGGAATGCAACAAGGAGGAGTCCCCATCCTGATGAGTGTGAGGACAAAGAGAGCCTTAATGGAATGGATGCCAATCTGCATGAGGACCATTAAGGCAAGATTCTACTCAAAACACAAAAGCTAACGGTAATAAAAGCATATGCACCAACAGACGATGCGATGGACGAGGAAAAGGATGAATTTTACAATCAACTGCGAGACTCTGTTACAAGCTGCAATAGTCATGATATGATTTTGATGATGGGAGACCTGAACGCTTACGGGAGTAACAACATTAACAGAGAGGAGGTACTGAGGAAATTTAGTGTCGGAGTCATGAATGATAATGGGAAAGGTTATGTGACCTCTGTGGTACGAATGGCTTAGTTGTAACTGGAACAGTTTCCTACAGAAAGAGATCCATAAGCTGACCTGGAAGTCACCAGGTGGGAAGACTGTTAACCAGCTCGACCATGTCTTTGTGAATGGACGCATGAGAACATCGATTCTGGACACGAGAGTGATGGGAGGAGCAGACGTATATGGTGACTACTACCTGGTGAGAACCAGAATGAGACTAAAGTTGGCAAAGGCGCATGGGAAGAAGAAAACAAGTGTGAGATTTGACGTGTGTTAGTTGCAAAGTGAAGAGATCAGGAGGAGATATAACATTAAAGTGAAGAACAGGTTTGCAACGATATGAGATATAGAAGATTCAAAGGAAGCACGACAAGATCTTGGTGACGTACAGAGATGCCGCAGAGAAAGTTATTGGAAGGTCAAAAAAGGAGAGCAAGCCATGGACAGGAGACAAGACTTGGGGAAAAATTCAGGAGGGGAAAGAGGCAAAACTTAATATAGAGGGTGCGAGATTGGAACGACTTGAACAGCGATAGAGAGAGGAGTATAGTGCGAAAGAAAAGGAAGTGAAAGAGAGTGCTAGGGAGGATAAGAGGAATTGGTTGGAGGAAAGGGCTACAGCAGCAGACAAGGCCGCTGAGAATGGTAGAAACGAGGAGCTAAACAGCATAACCAAGACAATAGCCGGGAACAGAGGAGGCGAGAATTGCGTGTGAAAGACAAACTGGGGGTGCATAAGACAGAATCACAAGAAAGATTGCAGAGCTGGGTAGAGAACTTGAGTAAAATTTTAAACAGAGATGACCCCACAAATCCGGTGGAAGAGAAAGAAGAAACAGAAGAACTGGAGTAGATTGAGGAAATCGATGTAGGAAGATGGCGAATACAAGAGGTTAAGGATGCGTTCAGGAAAGCAAAGCCAGGGCCCAGACCTACTAAGGGCTGACATGGAATACACCGCAAGTAGGCAGACTGATGATATAACAGGCTTTAGAAAAGTTAATGGTGGCCAGAAGTGTGTAAGAAGGGACTTGTTGTCAATATATTAAGAAAGGTGATTTGCGTGATTGTAACAATTGGAGAGGAGTGACTTTGCTACCCACCATCAATAGAATATTCCACAGGATGCTGCTAGAACGGATCAAGAAAGGTTTAGACAAGAAGCTTAAAAAAGAGCAGGCCAGCTTTAGACCAAATGGAAATACAACTGAACAGATCTTTACATTAAAGAAACATCTTAGAGCAGGCAAACGACTGGAGGGCGAGTCTGCACACGCACTTTGGGGACTTTGAAAAAAGCCCTCGATTCGGTACACAGAGAAAGATTGTGGAACACCATGGGGAGCTATGGAATACCGCGCAAGATGGTGAGAGTGGAAGTAGGCATATACGGAGGGTTTGAATGCGCCGTAATCGACGGATGGGAGATATCAGACTGGTTCAAGATTTAGTCAAGAGTAAAGCAGGGATGCGTAATGTCAGGATTCTTATTCCTACTGGCTATGGATTGGATCATGAGGAAGACAACAGCAAGACACTGAGGATGGAGTTTGCAACGAACAGGGAGAGCATTGTGGTGAATGGTGAAGAAGTGAAAGATGTCGAGGAGTTTGCGTATCTTGGAGCTATTGTAGAAAAGAAAGGTGGAGGCAGTGAAGATATTAGGAACAGAATGCAGAAGGCACGAGGTGCATTCCAGAGGCTATGGAAGGTGTGGGTAGCCAGAAGAATAGGAAAGAGAGCCAAGATGTGCCAATTCAAGACTTTAGTCCGATCGGTCCTGCTACATGGTTGTGAAACATGGAAAATCACAAAGACCGATGAAAGAACACTGAAAAGTTTTCAGTACTAATGCCTAAGACGGATACTGAGGACAAGATGGCAGCAAAGAATGACAAACAGGAGAGTAGTTGAAATGGCAGACACCAATAAAATTAGTTGCGAGGTGGGAAGAAGAAAGTGGAACTGTTTAGGACATTTACTCAGGAGAGAAGGTGTGAACGACTTTTTTGCGGTATTGGGGTGGACACCAGAATGTCAAAGGGCGAGAGGGAGACCAAAGACCAGTTGGAGAGGGACTGTTGAAAGAGGAAAAAGGCAAGGCGATATGGAAGAGCTGGATTGTGGCTGGGGTGGCGGCACGCAACAGGGGGTTGGGCGGACAATGTGACGGCCTTATGCACCTACTGGCCCAACGAGCGATGATGATGATAATGAGGATGATGATACACACCACACGTGACAGTTAACTTTAATTTACGTGCTATGGTAACCCGTGGTTTCTCGGCGAAAGGAAAGAAATAATTACTGTGAAGCTAGAGATCGGAAACAAAAATAAATTTAGAGAAAAAGTGTACCGAACTTGTGGGGTACACTGTACTCTCAATCGTCAAATTCTTTCATTGTTTATCATCAACGTTCACCACGTCACAAACTTCCAACGCTCTCTCCTCAAACCTATCACTCTAATTATCACCTCTCCTATTTCAATCTTAACCTAACCGTGACTGCGTGAGTCACATGTCACGCAACTTCCGTTTAAAAGGTTACTTGGAACTTACTTTCGAATCAGTGAGTTAAATGATACATACCGTTCTAGAAGTTTGACAAAACTTGGGAATACTTGAACTGTCTGCAATCAAAGGTTGAACAATTTAGAATCACGTGCTTTTTGCTCAAGCGGCAAAATTATCTGTAGGTTCCTTTCTTATATCATAAGCAAATAACGCAGGCTCTGTGCTTGGTTCTTAACTGTGATCTATTGGAGGACAAATGCATTTATTGTACAAAACAAATAGAATCCACGTCGCCTGAGTTCTTTATGATAATAGATCACAGATGACGTCACAACATCAGTGATCTCTTCTTTGCTCTTACCACATTTTGACGTCATCTGTGATTTCTTACTGAACAAACACAGAGCAACATGTAAGTTATTTTTTAAATTAACAAGTATTAAGTGTAGTCTGTTGTTATTTTCGGTCTTTCACTTCCTATCACAAAATGACACAGACATTTCAAGCGCTTTGACCCAATTATTTAATGGATATCAAAACTTCTAAAATACGCTGTTAGGCATTCTGGATTCCTTCTGGCGGAAGCAGCTATTCTGCGCCTTCTGCATCAAGCACTGCCACAATTACTGAGTTTCTGTTCCTTAAGGTTTCTTTTGCAAGTATTCCGAAAAATGTTTACTTTCTGTCCACGGTTTATGTGACCGTAATCAGTCAAGGATTACATTCGCAGCTGGTCATGCGTAATGAAGGAATACTGAAAAACGAAACGGAATTTTTGATGAAAACTGGCTGGAAAAAGGATTTCTATTGGAAATAACAGGCGTCATTCTATGGAATACTGACATTTGGAACATGATTTTAAAAGGCACTTAGCGAAAAGAATTTGTTTTCTTTGCTGTTAATTTTTTTTTTGGATAACTTCACGTTTCGCTGATCCTTCCCACACAAGAGATCTGTTAAGCTTTAAAGATTTGAAAAAATAAAAACTATGATTAGTCTAAAAAGTGTACAAAATTCTCCACCTTCAAGGAAATAATGTAAGAAGATCTAATCGGCAAGAGTGGGTTGTCGAGAAATTTTTGAAAAACATTACACTGCGTTGATCAAATGAATACAAAGTCAACCAAAAGATCAAGATTCGTAAAGAAAATACTAAATCTGGCGATTCTCTAACTGCAGTCGTGTCTGGTGTGATATTTCAAGTAATTGGAGTAAGCTCTTGAACAGAGGTCAATCATATTTGGATATCTTCTAGAATGTTCTGCTCAAATTTTTCTTTAATATACACACCATTCTAGCATCCTAACTCAAGAAAAAACGCGGATGAAGAGGCAACCTTCAGACACCCGTGCCTGATGTGATTACTATAACAATCGAATTAAAAATACCTTTCTTACATCCTTAACTCAAAAAAACAACAGATGAAAAAGCAACCTTCGAGCACGGGTGCCTGGCGTGATATTACAACAATCGAATTTAAAATACGGTCAAGAATGTTTTGATCAAAGTCCTTTTCAGAGCAGTAACAAGGATAAAACATAAGATTTTAAAAAGCCTTTTTAACAGAATGTAAAAATTTTTTTCAAAGAATCTATGCAGTGACTACAACAGTACAGTTGGTTTTGATTTCTGTGTAAGCGTCAAAATTTCAACCACACAAGACAACAAATTGCTCATGCACAACAAGCCTTCAACGCGTAAACAGGAACACGAATTTTAAATATAAAAATATTTTAAGAATCTCTCGAATCGCCAGGAGTGGGTTCTGGGGTGAAGAGAAGGGGGGTTCACTTGCACACCATTCCACATTTCCTCTCTGAATTCAAAGCAGACAAAAGACAACATCAAGAAAATACTCAATTTGGCGATTTTCTAACTGCAGTCGTGTCTGGTGTGATATTTCAAGTAATTGGAGTAAGCTCTTGGGCAGAGGTCAAACATATTCGCATATCTTCTTCTAGAATTTTCTGCTCAAAATTTTTTCTTAGAACTGCATGCAAACAATTCTTGGAGCAAACAAGGAAAAAGTTCTATATTGAGAGTCTTTCACCGGAGGAAAAACTTTCGAACGAACAATTCAGTTTAAAGTTCACAATCTTCAGCAATAAAACATAACTTATAATTTCTTTATCAAAATACACAGCAAGCCAAGAGCGGATAAGGTTACAAAATTAGGGGAAGGTGTTTATAAACAACAACGGTGAATTCGAAAAGATCTCCAATCGACTGTGGAGTTGTTTGTGCCACTTTGCCTCTACGGTGTTCTCTTAGACAAAATACATTCAACCTCCCCAACATCAAAATGTACGCAATGACTAAATCGACGAGAAAGTTCGTGATCCTTTATCAATCTCGAGATCGAAGACCAGTACTGTATTTCTTGCTGTTGTCCAAAAGCAGTTAGATGTTTAGTTGCAGTTTCAAAATTAGCAAGTCATGGCCCGCTACAGAAACTACAAATTTACACTATAACATAATATATACTTACTAGCGAGGCTAATCTCAGTGCCTTGAGGAATAACTAAGGCTAATAAATTCTATCGTTTGTCACGTACACATATACTGTGTTGCATTTTTTTGCTATTGTCCAAAAGCAGTTAGATGTTTCGTTTCAGTTTCAAAATGAGCAAGTTGTGGCCCGCTAAAGAAACTACAAATTTATACTACAACTCAATGTACTTACCAGCAAGGCTAATTTCAGCGCCTTGAGGAACAACTAAGGCTGATAAATGCTATCGTTTGTCTTTCGATCTTTTCACTGCCGCTGTGGATCGTGATGGTCAGGCTTGCACGAAGAAGGCTTGCAATCAAAACGCCCCGATCTGTACATTGAAGGTAAAAACAAAGTGCAATAAACGATTATACTTTATCTCATATTGTACCGTTGTCCATAAAAAATGGATAATTCTCACACCAAAAATTCTGCTGCTTTAACGAAATGGTATTGGGGTTAATCTGCTTTTTGCTTTTTTCAGCATTATTGTCTAACAAAACAAAGCAGTTCTTTCGTTCATTTGACACACTCAGCATATCAGATGATGAAATCGTGAAATGTATCTAATAACGTCACTTTTTAACATTTTCACTAATGTAAAGTGACGATAGTAGAGATCGCTGTGCTATTTCACATTTCTGCTAAAACCTGTTTTATTAAGCTCCTTCTCCGCCAGCTTGTGTCGCATCGATATAAGTATTCTAGAATGTATGCGTGTTTATTTTCCGTTTAAAACGAGTTTTAACTGCTACACATAACTTTCATGTAAAGATTGTGTCGGTAGTGTACTTCATTGGCGACAAAGAACATAGGCTACTTTCAGTACTGAAAAAAACACTCGAGGAATTCGAAAGCAAAAGTTTATCTACGCACATTAATCAGGACCCTAAATAGCTGCAGCCCGAGGGTACTATTCATTCTATTTGACAAAAACTAATTTTGTTTTCGTTTTGTTGCGGTTTTTCGTCAATTATCTGCCGAAGAAAAATGACACTTTAATGTGCTTTGACCCATCGGTTAAGATTATTATTCAAACTTTAGAACTGCATTGAAACAGTTTTAGGAGCAAACAAGGAAAAATTTCCAAATCGAGAATCTTTCATCCGAGGAAAAACTTTCAAACGAACAATTCGGTATAAAGTTTACAATCTTCAGCAATAAAGTATAACTTATAATTTCTTCATCAAAATGCACCGCCAACTAAGAGCGTACAAGGTTAAAAAATTGGGGGAAAATGTTTATGGACAACGATAAATTCGAAAAAGATTTCTAATCCACTGCGGAGTTGTTTTTGTAAGTTTGTTTCTACGGTGTTCCTCTAAACAACATACATTCGCAAAACGTCCCCAACATCAAAACATACGCAATGACTAAATCGACAAGAAAGTTCGTGATCCTTTATCAATCTCGAGATCGAAGACTAGTACTTTATTTCTTGCTGTTGTCCAAAAGCAGGTGGATGTTTCGTTTCAGTTTCATAATTAACAAGTCCTGGCCCGCTACAGAAACAACTAAATTACACTATAATACAATGTCCTTACCAGTGAGGCTAATTTCAGTGCCTTGAGGAACAAATAAGGCTGGTAAATGCTATCGTTGGTCTTTCGATCTTTTCACTGCCGCTGTGGATCGTGCTGGCCTGGCTCGCACGAAAAAGACTCTTAGCCGTTTTCTTGCGATCCAAACGTCCCGATCTGTACATCAGAGGGGAAAACAAAGCGCATTAAACGATATTACTTTATCTGATATTGTGCCGTTGTCCTTAAAGCAAGGGATAATTTTCACACCAAAGATTGAACAGCTTTCACGAAATCGTAGCGGAGAAAAATCTGCTTTTCGCTTTTTGCCTTCTTCAGCATTATTATCTAACTAAACGAAGCAGTTCTTCCATTTGACACACTCAGAATATCAAATAATGAAGTCATGAAGTGTATCAAATAACGTCACTTTTAACATTTTCACTAATCGAAAGTGACGATAGTAGAAATCGCAGTACATGCAACTACACCTTTTCGTTAAATCTGTTTTATTAAGCTCCGTCTCCTCCAGGTATGTCGTATCAATATAAATATTCTAGAATACATGCTCGTTGATTTTTAGTTTGAAACGAGTTGTACCTGGTACACATAACTTTCATGTAAGAGAATAAAGTATACTTACCATTGTCAAAGTTTTATAAACCTTATAGTGAAGTATGCGTTATGTAGTCAACAGAACACCCGAGGAACTCAAAAGTGAAAGCTAATCTGGCATTGTCGCAATGCATATTATTCATATCCCTAAATAGCCGCACCCTGCCGGTATTATATCAATTGTTTTACCGAAAACTATTGAATTCGCTTTGGTTTAATCATTGGTCAAGTTTTTGCTCCCCGCAAAAGCACACAATAACGTGCCTTGACCCGTTAATCTTCATTGGTTTTCAAAGTTAATTTGTTCTTCAAAAGTCGATTGAAAATTCCACGCAATAGACACCATTTCACATTGCCCACATAAATGAAAAGTAGATACTTGGTTGTCCAAGAGCAGTTAGATGTTTCGTTTCAGTTTCAAAATTAGCAAGTCCTGGCCCGCTACAGAAACAACTAAATTACACTATAACACAATGTACTTACCAGCGACGCTAATTTCAGTGCCTTGAGGAACAACTAAGGCTGATAAATGCTATCGTTTGTCTTTCGATCTTTTAACTGCCGCTGTGGATCGTGATGACCGGGCTCGCACTAAGAAGATTCCTAGCTGTTTGCTTCCAATCAAAATGTCCCGATCTGTACATCGGAGGTGAAAACAAAGCGCATTAAACGATAATACTTTATCTAATATTGTACCATTGTCCTTAAAACAATGGATAATTTTTTCACAAAAAATTCTGCAGCTTTAACCAAATCGTAGCGTGCGTAATCTACTTTCTGCTTTTTGCTTTTTTTCAGCATTATTATCTAACTAAACATAGCAGTTCTCTCATTCGTTTGACACACTCAGGATATCGGAGGATGAAATCATAAAGTGTATCAAATAACGTCACTTTTAATAATATTTTCACCAATCGAAAGTAGCGATAGTAGAAATCGCAGTGTATGCAATTACACCTTTTCGCCAAACCTGATTTATTAAACTCCTTCTCCTTCAGCGTGTATCGTATCAACATGAATATTCTAGAATGTATCTTTGCTTATTTTCACAAACATTATAGTACACATAACTTTCATGTTAGTGAATTAAAGTACACTTACAGTTTTCAGAGTTTTAGAAACCTTTTAATGAGGTAGCAGTACTTCATTTGCGAAAAAGAACATAGGCTGCTGTCTGTATTCAACAAAACACTCGAGGAATTCGAAAGCGAACGTTTATCTGGCTTCGTCGTAGAGCACATTAATCAGGTCCCTAAATAGCTGCAGCCTGAGGGTACTATGCATTTTATTTGACTGAAAACTAATTTTGATTCCCTTTGTTGCGGTTTGTCGTCAATTATCTGCCGTAGAAAAATGACACTTTGATGTGCATTGACCCATTGGTCAAGATTATTATTCAAACTTCTTTCGCCCTACAAAAGTGTACAAAATTCGTGGCTCTCTTGAGAGGGGGCTAATCCAGGCGACCATAATTTACAAGCAAAAAACTTCGAGAAATTTGAAATGGAAAAGACAATACTTTTATAGCGTTGATCAAATGAATATGGCGTCATACCAACGGGCCATTTCTCTTGATTCGCTTAAGTAACGTAGAAAGGTTTCTGGGTTGAGTCAATTGAGAGAAGATAATCTATTTTCTCTTAAAAATCTTGTCAAAATTTCAACAAGACAAGAAACAAAAATTGCTCATGCGCAACACGCCTTCAACTCGTAAACAGGAACACGAAAGTGCAACCAGTGTGTTACGTATTGTGACCCTAACAAATAATAATCCAATGACATTGCGTCTTTTTGAATGGCGTCCATAACCGCAAACTTCACATTTCTGGGCTGATTCGTTAAGTGTAAGCAGAGCTGTTTAGTCCGAGGTAGGTAAAAAAGTTACAACAGTGGGAAAGCAAAGCACATCAGCTCCCCCCGGTCCTTAAAGCAATATTTTATTGCTAAAAGTATAATAAAAGTAATAAAATATTGTGGGGAGAGAGGCACGGGGTTTAATTGCAAACATTCCACATTCCCTCTCTGAATACAAAGCAGACAAAAGACAACGTCAAGAAAATACTCAATTTAGCGATTTTCTAACCGCAGTCCTTTGAAGTAATTGGAGTAAGCTCTTGAAAAGAGGTCAACCATATTTGCTTGTCCTCTTCTAGAATGTTCTAATCAAAGTCTTTCTTTAGAATTGCATTGAAACAGTTCTGGGAGCAAACAAGGAAAAATTTCCAAATTGAGAATCTTTCACCGGAGGATAAACTTTCAAACGAACAATTCGGTATAAAGTTTACAATCTTCAGCAATAAAACATAACTAACAATTTCTTCGTCAAAATGCACAGCCAACTAAGAGCGTATAAGGCTACAAAATTGGGGGAAAATGTTTATGGACAACTATAAATTCGAAAAAGATCTCTAATCGACTGCGGAGTTGTTTTTGACAGATTATTTCTACGCTGTTCTTTTAGACAACATACATTCGCAAAACTTCCCCAACATCAAAACATACGCAATGACTAAATCGACAAGAAAGTTCGTGATCCTTTATCAGTCTCGAGATCGAAGACTAGTACTGCATTTCTTGCTGTTGTTTGAAAACAGGTGGATGTTTCGTTTCAGTTTCATGATGAGCAAGTCCTGGCCCGCTACAGAAACAGCTAAATTACACTATAATACAATGTCCTTACCAGTGAGGCTAATTTCAGTGCCTTGAGGAACAACTAAGGCTGATAAATGCTATCGTTGGTCTTTCGGTCTTTTTACTGCTGCTGTGAATCGTGCTGGCCTGGCTCGCACGAAAAAGACTCTTAGCCTTTTGCTTGCGATCCAAACGTCCCGATCTGTACATCAGAGGAGAAAACAAAGCGCATTAAACGATATTACTTTATCTGATATTGTGCCGTTGTCCTTAAAGCAAGGGATAATTTTCACACCAAAGATTGTGCAGCTTTCACGAAATCGTAGCGGGGATAGTATGCGTTTTACTTTTTGCTTTTTTCAGCATTATTGTCCAACTAAACGAAGCAGGTCTACCGTTTATTTGACACACGCAGCATATCAGATAATAAAGTCATAAAGTGTATCAAATAACGTCACTTTTAAAATTTTCACTAATCTAAAGTGACGATAGTAGAAATTCCCGTGCAATTTCACCTTTTCGCTAAACCAGTTTTCTCAGGCTCCTTCTCCTCCAGGGTATGCCCTATCAATATAAATATTCTAGAATGTATGTTTGTTGATTTTCCGTTTGAAACGAGTTGTATCTGCTCCACATAACTTTCATGTAAGTGAATTGAGGTACACTTACCGTTGTTAAAGTTTTAGAAACCTTTCAGTGAGGTATGCATACTTCATTTGCGATAAAGAACATTGGCCGCTTTCTGTAGTCAACAAAACACTCGAAGAACTCGAAAGCGAAAGCTAATCTGGCGTTGTCGCAATGCATATTATTCACATCCCTAAATAGCTGCGCCCTGCTGGTATTATATCAATTGTTTTACTGACAACTATTGAATTCGCTTGGGCCTCATCATTGGTCAAGTTTTTGCCCCCAGCAAAATAACACAGCAATGTGCCTTGACTTGTTGATCTTCATTTAGTTTTTAAAGCTAATTCGCTCTTCAAAAGTTGGTAAAAAATTCCTCGCAATAGACATCATTTCACATTGCCCACATAAATGAAAAGTAGATACTTGGTTGTCCAAAAGCCGTTAGATGTTTCGTTTCAGTTTCAAAATTAGCAAGTCCTGGCCCGCAACAGAAACATCTAAATTACACTATAACACAATGTACTTACCAGTAAGGCTAATTTCAGCGCCTTGAGACTGAATAAGGCTCGATAAGACGACGATGAATAACCACAGTTTTTTTCGTACGAGATGAGATTTGTCAGTCAGCAAACCAAGAATCGTAAAACTTCCGTCCAGTTAAGAGACCATAGTTCTGCAAATGAACGAAGGACAAATTCCTAAATTGTTGTATGCAAAACGAAATTGACGTATAATTTGATAAATTATTATAACGAAGTTGAATTAAACTCGTTTAGAGAGCCGTTAAGGTTTGCAGTTTGAGTCTACGAGCAAGAATTTGTGGCAACATCCTTCATGGATCTTACACTGAGCTTTGATCTTGTTGCAATCAAACATTTGTTGGAATTTGCTTCTCAAATCTAGATTACAAGTGATTTATACTTACTTCTTTAACGATTTCTGTTTCTGTTTCTCTTTAAGGAACTGTTGAGGGAACACGTCGTCGTTTTCAGTCAGCAAAATGACAAAGCACTGCTCAGAAGCAACCATGCACGAAAGTTCAACCAATTTGCATATCGCAGCATCTCTGATGACATTGTGATGACTTTTACGTCAGCAGCAGACAGATTTGCGCCTGATCTCATTAAAAAAGAATCCAGGCCATTCAAACAGCAGATGACAAAATTGTAGATAGGGGTAGGGTTAGGAAGAGGAGGATCATGGAAGGAAGTTTAGTCGTTTCGTGCCTAAAATTCTAGACAACCAGGGATATTAAAGGAAGAGTCATTCTTATAGCCTGGGTGGGCTGTAGGAAATTTGTTTTCTTAGGGGAGAGGGTGGGATCGCATGGGGGAACGGAAGGTCGTCGAAAGTCGTCTCTGACAGAGTTAAAAAGAGGACTATAGAAGATTGACTGCACATTAGGGGGATTAATAGAATACCACGGAGCTTCATGGAGGGAACAAGTAAATTTTATTGTTACAAAACCAAAATACTCCGCTCCACACGACTGGTGGGGGAGTCACCAATTTCAAACCGCAAGAGCTTTGGTAGAGTTAAAACGACAATTAGCATCGTACATGGCCCATTCTAAGTTAAACAAATTATTACACTAGGAAAACAGTTTTCATCAGAATAATAAGTATATTCGCATTTAAGTCAACTGAAAACGTCAAGTTCTGCCTTTACAGGTAAAGCTATTCAAACAAAAACCTACCATCGCTATACCTAATACAAATTACAAAAGCTTTTCAATACAAAGGAAATCAGTTTTTTGGTTGGTACTTTTCAGAGGATTGAAAAGGAAATTTTTTTATCCATGTCTGTTACTGCGAAAGTATGTAGAAAACTTTACATATTTGAAACCCATTCATTCAGATTTAATAAAAATATTATTTTATAAAAAGACGTGAAGAAATTAATTCACTCTTTAGTATAATGGTGATCTGCATGAAAAAGCATAAAGTTGAAAATTCACCTTGTTAAGTGTTTATTGAATGTTCTGGGGCCTTGATTCAAGGCTGGTAGCCTTCACAAAATCGAAAAATTACTTTCTGTCATCAAATATTTGCTAATTAAATTTCAAGTCATTGCTGGATTTTTGCCACCATTTCCAGCCAATTTACAATGGTAATAGGACTGAGTGGAGTCTAATTCCATCTGTTGTTATCATACACATGATTAACAAACTTAGACAAAAAAGAAGTAAGAGACCAATTTGTCAATCTGATGATAATCAATATGATTAGAGAAAGAATTGGACGACAAGAAGTCCTGTTACCAATTAATATTAATTGCTACAATTTCCGAAAACAGCAAATACATTTAGGTCAAATATCTCTGGTAGAGACAATGTCTAAAGTAAAAAATATGTCTCCATTTTGGAAATTCTTAATTTTTTTTGGATAAGTGGTTGTTGCTATGGTTATTGTGATTGACTCCGTGATTGGTGGATTTGGCTGAGTGGACTTGTATGATTCGTTGCTTCAACTGTCCAATTACAGGTGTCCGATTACAGCCAACTGTCCAATTACAGCTGTACAGAATGAGAAGTAAAAAATCAAAGCAGCTCATGCACCAATCACATTTGAAGAAAGTATAATGGTTGTGATTATTGCCTAAATAGCCTGTTCCAGACATTCAGTTGGTAAAACAAAGTGTGATAGTAAACAGAGCTATAATAGCAGAGAAGTGAAAAAGCGAGGGAGGCTTGGGTTGAGTCACTTAATGAACCCCACCTGACCCAACCTCTCTTCCTGTTTCACTTTTCCACTCCAGTCTTCACTCCCTTTTACTAACTGAACGCCTGGAGTGAGCCAATGCCTGAAACGACCTTACATCATTTTAAAAACTTTTTTTGTATTGTCTGTGTCAAATTAACATAATCTTATTTCATAAGGAAGGTTAGCAATAAATTTTGGCCACCCAAATTTACAGTACCGTCTATTTTCTCTGCACTCATTGATTAAGAAGATTTTTTCATGTCATTCAATAGTTTGGCCAAAATGGCGTAGGTATCTCTTCCATTCTTTAACCGCGATTCAGCGTACTGGATAAGACTGGCTTGCAGGCTCAACACCCTTTGCCTATTGTAACGGATCATCTATATTTAAATTAAAAAAAAAACAAAAATTAAAATCAATCGAGTAAGCACATTGTCTACTGTAGTTAGAGCCAAATGACAATTTCTTTTTATGTGCCCCTAACAATTATCTATATCATCTGACATTTCTCCTCTGTTTATTACGCTGGCGCAAAGGATTCATTGTAAACCACGGAAAATGGTCGAAAATCAAATTGTTGATGAGCGATTTTGTCACTTTGGCTTCTCAGAGGTTAATGGTACTTGCTCATCACTTTCGAGTTAGCCAGTCAGTGTGCACGAAAAACACTATTCACTTGTGTGGTATAAACTAATTTTTTGATATTCAGGTTTTAACATGAAAATGGCACAAATATTCATGTTATTGTTTGACATGTGTCTTACATGTAAACCAACAACAGGGTGGTCTGCCTGTAAAACAAGCCGAGAAATGCAACCAGGTAAGGGTGGCATGCAGAATTTTCCAGCAAAACAGTAAGCTGAAAGTCTAAGTAAAACAAAAAGCCTTTTTTATATCATTTTATTCACCTCTTTCTTTGCAGCTTCTGAAATTGAATTGTATGCTTCCTCTGCATCGTCTTTGGCTTTTTGAAGCTGAAAATAAAAAAATGTGTAAAACAAGTTAGGATTCTTCAATTCTGGGGTTCACCATAATTATTCAGAAGCTCAACTTGAACTTTGAGTCTATTGCTAAGTGCAGCCTTATGTGAATCATGTGAAAAAAAAACAAAAACAAAAACCACCACATGTAAAAAAATCAGAGAGAGGTGCAAAGCACATGTTTGTCAGAACCTTACCATTTCTTGGTTCTTGGGTTTGGCTTTTTCCAGTGCTTTTGTTGCGTTCTCATACTCAACTAGTTTACATGTACGACGGAAAAGCATCTCCTGCAGGGTAACAGATGGACAAAACAAGTGCAGTAAACAGTTAAATTAATCATCTTGAGACAGCAAGAAGAAATAACCAATTAAAAAAGTGCTTTCAAAGTTGAATTGACACTGGAATTTTAATTATGTTTAATGTTACATTCCAGCTCATCTGTACTTGATGGTTCCAAATTCAATTATACCAAGAAGCATTGTAACTTTATAAAAAAACTTACAAGTCAGTTCATGTTTACATTTGACAATTGAGTCTTTGTTTGCAAGTTTTCCATCCCTTTTGCTTAGCAAAATGAAAATGAAATGTGTGGGTGAAAAGTGAAATTTACTGCCTATCATTTTAAATATTAGAAAACCAAGGCAGTACTGTCTTAATGAAAACATTAACGATTCCCTCTTTATCACCAATGCGACAAACGAGAAAGTTTTGAATGCAATAGAGCCATCATTTTGGATCTCCGCCTGGGTAGATTTAAGTCAGTGCTTCTCATAATCAAGAACAAGATAGAATTTCATTTCAGGCCTATTTATCAATTTTTGTGTAACTTTCGCATTTTAGTACGTTGTATGTATGTTGAATCTTCAAATTGTCTTGAAACTTAAAAGAAAATTGTTCTTTAAAAATTCACTGAAAATCGGTAGCTAAAGTTGTGTGTTTAGGTGTTAGTGATCGTGAGCTTGTTTTCGTCAGTCGCCGGCACTTGCTTCACACAGGAAAAACACACGATACGAAATGTAATAATCAATTTTGTCCCCAATCTCATGCCATAACAGAAAAAGCTTTTGAACACCTGTAAAACTCTGAGCGCTTCGGAGAAAGTGATATTTTCAATGAATCTTCGGATTTTCAAGTTCAAGTTCAAGGATTGTAAATTACAATGTTATGGTAAACGAAGGTTGTGCTCTTATTTCAGTGGGAATCCTAGCACGCCTGCCAGTCGCTGGCGCCGCTTGTTGAAACTAAAACGAAAAATATAAACTCTTTTAAGATTATCATTGGCTTCTTTTTCAACCCACCCCTATTCTTAGTAACAAAGGTCCCCATTTCGTTTGTTTATTACTCGCCAAAAACTATCAAATGCACTCAAAAGCCTAAAATCGAAAAAAAGTTTACAGGAATCGACACACACAGCAGCGAGCGAAGCCAAATTCCCCACAAATCTAAACTGCGCATGCAATTCACGAGTTAAAAAAGGGGTTTTCAAAGTTAGGGCACTGGAATTGCAATCCAGAAGTCCCACATTCCAGCTCATCTGTACTTGATGGTTCCAAATTCAATTATACCACAAAGCATTGTAAATTAAAAAAAAAAACTCCCCAAGTCATGACTCTGTTCCACCATTCCAGTCTTTGTTTGCAAGTTTTCCATCCCTTTTGCTTAGCAGTATGAAAATGAAATGTAAATTACTCCAAAGGGTGCTTTCTCTACAGATAACCTCTCTCTTGTGCTACATTCATGTAAATGCTCTAATACTTACCAATGAATTGAAAAAATTGAATGCAATAGAGATAGAGGGGGTAGAACCCAGTGTTCTCATTCAAGACACGGTAACCAGTCAATTCGCCGACGGACCAACTCGCCGACGCCAACTCGCCGACGCATAAAATCGAGTAGAGACGTCGGCGAGTTGGTCGTCAATCCAATACAACTTATTAGAAGTTAAACATACAGAAAAGTAAACGATATTTAGTAAAAAAACACTGGTGAACATTGGTGAACATCTAACAGAAGCTTAAACATTGGTGAACATCACCAATGACTGGTAAGACGCGAACGAGTTATTGTGCGACAACAACACCGTAAAGACTCATCATGTCAATCGCTCAGATTTTTTAACGAAAACTTGGCTTTCTAGACGAGATCTTTAGTAAAAAGGATTTCTTTTTATTTGCAACAATGTTTATCAGGATCTCAAGGCGAAAAAAAGGGAAGTAAACATCACCAATGACTCAAACAGCTTCAAACGCGAACGAGTTATTGTGTGACAACAACACTGTAAAGACTCATCATGACAATCGGTCAGATTTTTTTAAGAAAACTTGGCTTTCTAGACAAGATCTTAAGTAAAAAGCAATTCTTTTTATTTGTAACAAAGTTTATAAGGATCTCAAGGCGAATAAAGTAAAGTAACCATCGCCAATGACTACATCCGCTTCAGACGCGAATGAGTTATTGTGTGACAACAACACCGTAAAGACTCATCATGTTAATCGCTCAGATTTTTTAACGAAAACTTGGCTTATTAGACAAGATCTTTAGTAAAAAGCAATTCTTTTTATTTGTAACAAAGTTTATAAGGATCTCCAGGCGAATAAAGTAAAGTAACCATCGCCAATGACTACATCCGCTTCAGACGCGAACGAGTTATTGTGTGACAACAACACCGTAAAGACTCATCATGTTAATCGCTCAGATTTTTTAACGAAAACTTGGCTTTCTAGACAAAATCTTTAGTAAAAAGCAATTCTTTTTATTTGCAACAAAGTTTATAAGGATCTCCAGGCGAATAAAGTAAAGTAACCATCGCCAATGACTACATCCGCTTCAGACGCGAACGAGTTATTGTGTGACAACAACACCGTAAAGACTCATCATGCTAATCGCTCAGATTTTTTAACGAAAACTTGACTTTCTACACAAGATCTTTAGTAAAAAGCAATTCTTTTTATTTGCAACAAAGTTTATAAGGATCTCAAGGCGAATAAAGCGACGTTAACATCGCCAATGAACAAAATTGGCTGTAGACGCCAATGAGTTGTGTGAGTCATTGGTGATGTTTACTTCGCTTTTTTCGCCTTGAGATCCTTATAAACATTGTTGCAAATAAAAAGAAATGCTTTTTACTAAAGATCTCGTCTAGAAAGCCAAGTTTTCGTTAAAAAATCTGAGCGATTGACATGATGAGTCTTTACGGTGTTGTTGTCGCACAATAACTCGTTCGCGTCTTAAGCTGTTATAGTCATTGGTGATGTTCACCAATGTTTAAGCTTCTGTTAGATGTTCACCAATGTTCACCAGTGTTTTTTTACTAAATATCGTTTACTTTTCTGTATGTTTAACTTCTAATAAGTTGTATTGGATTGACGACCAACTCACCGACGTCTCTACTCGATTTTATACGTCGGCGAGTTGGCGTCGGCGAGTTGGTCCGTCGGCGAGTTGACCGTAATTCCAAGACACAACCCACAAATCATTTGGGATATGAGAAATAGATTGGTCAACAGTCTGGCTGATGACTTTTTGTTGTAGTTTGGTTATTTTTGGCTTTTCTTTTCTTTCATTTTTAGATGTGCAGTGATCCTGAGCTTTTCTCAGGCTGTGATAATGCTCTCATCCCACCCCACCCCAAAAGAAAATAGTCACCTCCTTTCCCCTTCCCTAACCCTGCACACAAAAGGAAAGTTGGTATCCTTTGAAGAGTTAAATAAGATCCAAGTTTTCCAATACATATTTCACATACCTTGGCAGCATCCATGTATCTGGAATAAAGTTCTAAAGTAAAACCTAATGTGTTGTCATCATTAGTGGACATAACATCCAGTGATTCCTGAAGAAAGAAGACGACACACACACAAGTAAGACAAAACAAATTAAACTCTTGGAATTGAAAATACTGCTAGCAACACTAGTTCCTGTCTAAAAATGCTATCATACCTTGACACCATTTAGTGCACTTGAAAAAGTCACAAAACTCCTGTAAAAGTAAAAAAAGCTTTTAAAATTAGCTTTTCGTTACACCCTGACATCAGAATGTATATTCTCAATACTGTTCTTGGTACATATTCTATTATACTGACAAGGAGAAGTTGTTCAACAATCAAGAGCTTCTTTGTTTTTTTCTATCATTTCCTTTATTCTCATGACCTTAATGTACTATGCAGCAGTGATATGGTGAGGAGAATTTAGATGCTGATCACTTCAACAAGAGAGGAAGACATAACTATCATGCTAAGGTCTTGATAGGTCTTGATTGCCTCTTATTGCCAGTTCTCATGATGGTTACAGTGAGTAGAGCTAGCATGTAAGATGTGGTAAAACAGTGGTTATTCACATGGGAAAAAAAAATCAGCCAAACTATGTCTGGTCCATCATTGCTTGCATTGGAAGTTTGCCACCACAGGTTAATAATGGAAAGATATGAAATAAATATTAAGTAATTATTACAAAATCATATCATTTAGCAATTTCAGACAAAGAACAACAAACCCTTTCAATTCCTTGGTACTATTATCATCACCAGTTGATGCTGTCATGATGCCAGAACTAAAATTATCCACTGCTAATGCAACATCTGAAATTCACAAAGAAATTCAAAATTACCAAACTTACATATGTATCAATATGCCATCATGGTGAGATTGTCATAATCATACAGTATCATTTATTATCAAAATCAATCATATATTTTGTAACATCCTGATACATTACAACACTGTATCATCGAATAATAATTCAAGTGTGTCTTTGCCATCCTTATGTTGTTTTCACATGGACGTTCTTTAGATATCAATGTTTTGGCCACACTTTCTGAGATTTAGGCTGGAGAGATTTGAAGTTAATTCATTATTTCAGCCTAAACAACCTTAATGCAGATTAGACATTCCAGCAAATAAAACATTGCTACATATGTTGCTGACTGTGTACCATTTTGGTGAAGTTCTACAAAAAAACATAAGTAGAAAAACATTTATTTATTTAATCTCAAAATTGTCAACTCTTACTTAGAAGCTAAAACCAAATCTGACTTTCCTCTAAAACCTTGTTCTCATCATAGGTGCTGTTTGGCACAAAACCAATTTACAGAATCATAACTTAATTGTTTATGTTATTATTGACAATTAGACATTCTGGCTTTTCAACCACAGTTTCCAGCAGAGTTGGCATTTTGGAATTCCAGGTCTTTTTTTCCCTCATAAAAGACCCCTAAAGCAAACCAACAAGATGCATGTAAATGTAATCTATCCTTCACCCACAAGTAGCTCAGGGTGGAGAATCCTAGCCAAGACTGACATGGTGAGAGAGAAGCATTTACACCATCAACCCTTAAACACCCATGCATGACCAAAACATTATTTCTCCTCACCACATCAATACAACACCAAGCAAGCAAGAGATGCTCTGATTGTTAGTTGATCCAAAACCAAATATGCAATTACTGATGTTAGGGTGTGAAGGGTTAAAACACTGTCTCTCTGTATGCCATAATTCAAACTACAATAATTCATATTTCACAGCCCTGAATGAGACATACACTGTATGTATGATCCAAAACCAAATTCTCTGAACAAACATCATATGAATTGTATGGCAAACAGTAAAGAGAATGACTGAACCATAATGCACCCCTGGAGTAAGATTCTATTTGGAAAAATATAACAACTACTGACCCTATATGTCTCCTTGGTAAGTGGTGTGTACTCCTCCACAAAATCTCTTTTCTTCTGAAATTCTTCATCAAGATCCTAACCAAGAGGAACAACTTCTGGTTATTTGTATTTCTAGGAAGGCCAAGTTATTCTCATAATGGTTAAATTAAAAAAAAAGTTAGGTCATCTGTGAGCAGGGCCTCTATAACCCTTTAACACCCAGAACTGATAAACATGTAACTTCTCCCCATAGTATCCATACATTATTCAGCAAACAGGTAATCAGAATACTCAAACTCATCAGGTACAAGATGTTATGCTGATTGAACACAAAATTCTCGTAGCTAATCTACAAGGACAAGTGTAGCAGCTAGAGGGAAGAATTGAAAATCAGATCTTGGGAGTTTAAGGGTTAATTGCACTTTGGCTAAAGTGCTTCTTCACCTGCAGGAGAGAATGAGACCTGGAGCAACATGAGCTGGTGAGAGGCCTGTAAAGGGTTTAACCCTTTAACTCTCACAAGTGATTAACATGAAACTTCTCCCTATAATATCCATACATTATTCAGCAAACAGGTAATGAGAATATTCAAACTTGTCAGGTAGAAGCTGCTATCTTGATCTAGTATCAAGTTCTCATAACTAACTTATAAGGAAATATGTACTAGCAGCTAGAGGGGAGAATTTACAATCAGATCTTGGGAGTTAAAGGGTTAACACTGATAAAGAAGGACCAAGTATTCAGCAGTTTAACCCCTAAGAGTGACTGACATCTATTTTCTCCTTACCATATCCCCCCTGAATCAAACATTAAGGTCAGGAGAATAAAGGAGCTGATCACTGACTAAAGAAGCTCTTGATTGTTAGACAAATTCTCCATGTCAGCATCTTAGAAAATGTCTAGAGAACAGTGTGGAGAATATGCATACTGATGTTAGGGTGTGAAGAGTTAAAACAGTCTCTCTGTATACCACAATTCAAACTACAATTATTCATATTTTACAGCCCTGAATGAGACATACTGTATGTAATTAAACAATAATCCAGTGATATCACAATTTTACTAAATAAAGACTTCTTAGATAAAAAAATCAAAACAAAACAAAAAAACATAAAAAAATCCTGGAACATTTTGTACCTTGTGACTATGATGCCTGAAATCATCCACAGCTCATGATATAGACTTGTCCTAAGACCCTTTTTCACTTTGCTTCTCACTGCAAGCTATGTAATAAAAAAAGTGTTTATACCTTACACTGTAAGTGTATGAGCATGAGAGATGCCATTAAGCCACTGATCACTGAGTTGAAAAGAGATTAATTTCTCAGAGCAAGGAGTTTAATAATGATTATCAAACTTAGTTTTACCAAGTTGCAACAGACATTTTGTCACAAAAGAAATCCCCCAGGCATATACATACAATCAGCAAGAAAATTGTCAACACACTACCATTGAAATGGCAATATTCTGGAATAGCATACCAATTATATTCCTTACTTTTAACTCTTCTTCTCATGTACAATGTTTCTTTAATTGTTTTACACCATTCTACAACATTGACTGGTGGAAGAGCTTATTGTTGCAGTGAATTGTAGTTCAATTTTCACTCCATTTCTACATAATTCCTTAGAGGTGGCTCAGTGGATGTTGTGTCAACTGATTTTATCTTTAAAACATTTATGACCCCTTAAGATGAAAATAGTCACAATTATTGTTGATTTTATGAAAAATATACCTATGGAGTTTAAATCAAGTGTTGTTTTGCCATAGTATGTCAGTTTACAAATTTTGTGGAAAAAATCACCCACACTCACAGGGATCATGGCCAAATATCTGTAAGAGTATCTTATTATTTGAAAAACTCACATTTTCCTCTTTCAAAACCTTCTGCAAATCTTCATCTTTTGAAAAGGCTGGGTGGCTGACAACAAGTTGAAAAAATCTGAAAAACATCAAAAATTTTAATTCTTGAGATGGGCTAATATGCAATGTAAACATGAGAATCAACAGTGTCTCCCAGAAAGTATATTAAATTTTAGAGAAAATAATATCTTCAAGAAAAACTGAATCTTTCCTGAGGAAGTTTCTCTAAGATCTGTTTGTTGTTTCTTGTTGGGTTGTTTTCTTGATCATTTTGGTTTTACTTTGCCAGTTTACTGGGAGAAAAAAACTTAAATGGAAAATTAACCCTTTATATCCTAACAGTGACTAACATCAAATTTCTCCTTACAATATCACACCTAAATCACAAGTTAAGGTCATGAGTGTAAAGGAAATGATCATCAACAAAAGAAGCTTTTGATTGGTAAACAAATTCTCCTTGTCAGCACCTTAGGAAATGTATAAAGAGCTGTATGGAGAATATGAATACTGAATCTAGGGTGTAAAGGGTTAAAAAAACACTTTCCCAACCCACTGTTTTTCTTTTCAATACTCTGTAATCTGCTGTAAATCCATACAATTACTGAACTGTTCCCTTTTCCTATTCCTTCATTACTCCTTTCCATTGGTTATCCTCAATTTCTTTACTCCACCATAAACTTTGTTTCAACATTAAAATATACCTGTTTTTCTCCTTTCTTCCATTTCTCTGAACATTCCTCTGTAACCCAAATCCACATCGTCCCTGAATTTCTGTCTTACGAGTCCTTATTGTTGTGTAGCTCAGTAGCTCGATGTGCGGCGCTTGGTAACCACCCTGTCTCACTTCGCTAACAAACCACCAGCAGAGTTCTATTTGTGTAGTGCGTCAAGAGGATGGTTTCCAAATGACAAAGTACCGGCTGTATCCATGGAAAATGCCTTATGGCAACGATGCTACTGACTCTAGATTGTTACTACCAAAAAGGCAAAGTTAGTCATCAAGTTAGCAGCCCTGTACAGCTTTTTTGGCCTTGTTAGGCCTGATAAATAAGGCGTTGCTAACATAAGGGGCTTGGGTAGCTTATGAAAAATGTTTTGAATTACATGTGGTACATTTGCAGAAAGAATTAGAGGTGTGGAGGCCCCATAGTCTGCATCTGGAGTCTGAGTCGAGAGATTCCTATTCAACCCTGGGGCTTTTGTTTAATTTTCAAAGTTCTCCGTTTAACTTAGAAGAACAAATATAACATTTACAAATTAAATTATATAATTAAATGATGTTAAAAAAACTTGCATCCCCAACGTTTAAGCGGTTTTTCCGTTTAAAAAAATTGTCGTTTAAAAAAATTTGCAGACGCATAGCAAAAACAAACGGTTTGTCCAGACAGTACAGAAAGACCGTATCTTATTTTGGTTTTATCTATTGCGTGATCAAAGCGAGTTCCGTCTTTATCCTTTGGATTCTTTTTCTTTCTTTGCGTTTTACTCTTTGCATTTCAAATTTTCAAAATCTCTATCTCTAAAAGAATCATTGGCAAACAAAATGGCGGCGCCTGGCCTTCCGAACAGGAAGTGAACATTTTCCTAATCAATCATTGACATCATTCGAGAAACTATTCTCAGGGCTTATTTCTGAATGTCGAAAGCGGGAGTAATTCATAGCAAGAATGCTAGTTATTACTTTTCAAATTATCATCTAAATATTTTCGCTTTAAAGGATAATTATCCGTTGTCACTCTGAAAGGCAGAAGATCTCGGCGGCTCAACCACAGCCGTTAAACATTAATTTTAAGCTCATCGTTTGTCGATTTTTCAACCGTTTCTCGGTTTAAGCCATCCGTTTTTGGAAACGTTTCGGGCTGACCGTTTTTAGGTCAACCGTTTAAAAGTGTGAGCCATCCGTTTTTCTCAACGTTTAACAGGCTATTACAAAAAAGCTATCCGCTTTGAAATGTCCGAGCCTCCGAAACGAAATTTCGTTTCTAACAACCGTTTAACGGAAAAGCTATGTGTCCTGTCGATGGAGACATATTCAGTACTGATTCTGCTATTCATCAAATCACACTCGATTAAAAACCACTTACTTCCCGAGCCAGTTCTTTTGTCATTGATCATTGACCTAGGTCGCCATACAGTTCTTCAAAATCCGTCGTTCTCCATCCCAAACACTCGCCTATTACAGGAAAGTGCATCAATAAAGTCAACTGCTCTATCGAATTGACTGCTACAGAGTTCGAAGCGTCCAAATATCCTGTAAAATTGCCATTTCCTCCCATCAAAAAAGTTCCCAACGCGCCAGAATATCCCTTATTTTCCATGTTGAGTAAGTGACGAGACGCCATGTTGAAAACTATGACTGAAATAGTTAAACAAGCAATCGCTGTTATCTTCGAAATAAATTAGTTCTCGGTCGGCCATATTTATTTATGTTCTTGCACATCATTGTAATTGTTGTCGAGTTAAAAAAAGTTACGTATTCTCGGTCCTTTTCAGAATAAAAATATGCCAGGCATTGAATGCAAATTTAGTGTTTCAGTCCTTTAGTCTTAGCGCCAAATTAAATTAAAGCAAATCAAAATTCCGACATCATGCCATCGCTCTGCCTCGAAAAATCCCAAAGATTTACTTGCAGGTCTTCTTTTCTTTTTCTTTTCATCAAATAGAAGATCTGCGGTGCTCAAATTGTATAAGTCATGGTACGAAACACTCTTCTTTGCAGATCGAGCCGTGATCGCCGCCATATTGAATTCTCTTGATATTCTATTGTTCCGGAGTGTAATACGATATACCGCTGATAATTGTTAGCGGGCTCGAAATGTCCTTGATTTCTGGCGATAATTACATATGGAACATTTGCAGAAAGAATTGGAGGTGTGGAGGCCCCATAGTCTGCATCTGGAGTCTGAGTCGAGAGATTCCTATGTGGAGACCAGACAGGAACACTTCGACAAAGAGACTTAAGAAGTAATCAGCTCTCATCAAGAATTTCACTTTCCATTAGTTTTGATTTGAAAGTTCCACTGCCCGAGAACACGACTGCAGCTGATCTTAATCAGACAACTGAAGAAATTTCCAGTAACCTATTATTAAAGTTTAACAAAACAGATGTGAATCTTAATATCAGTGGGATTTCCTTAGTTTTCGATGCTTCAAAACCACCTCAAGTCCGCTTCGTGCGCCTTTTATGTGATAGTGGACAGGTTCTAAGAGGCTCCAAATGTGGTAAGCAGAGTTTGTTATCAAAAAAATCCTTAAGAATCTCAAAACACAAAGTGACTGGTTAACTTACTTTGCTTAAAAGATTCTTATTTTGTCCAAGATAGTTGGTTACGCTGGCACTTTTCCATAAGCAAGTATTCTAAAAAATAATTTGATCGCTTTAGACAAACAGGAGCAGTGAGATGCATGATGCAAATGAAAGAATAGCCAGATAATTTTTTATTTCACGTTTGCTAAGTACTTCCCTATAACTATGAAATTTTCTAAAATGCCCGAGTTTTCCAAAGTGGCCATAAAAGCAATTTCACTTCCGCTTTATAATTGGTTTATTTAAGAAAATAGGTGTTATACGATTGGCTGCCTACTCTAGATCAACAATCTTTCAAAGGCGCAGAATTTCTTCGCAGAAGGCATTTGAAAAATTATGTGAGTTGAAAAAACGTATTGAAAGCGCTAACTCTAACTTAAGGAGAACTAAAATCTTCCCATAGCTTTTAAGCCCCTAGATGTTTACGGAGTACTTGGCTAAGTTTAGACCCTATCGTAAGTAATAAGAAAGATGTAATTAACTCAACGAAGGAAGCATATCATAACCAAGCACCAAAAAGTCATTCTTTTAGATGAATCAACGTACAAAACATTTCTCCTGAAAATGAGTTTCCTCGCATGAGGATGAAGAATGATTGTAATATAAGTATCGAAAAGGCAATGCACTTGCCTTGCTATGCAGTCAGATGCTATAAACAGCTCTGAAATGGCTGACTCAAACAGTTTGATGATAGGTCAAACCTTTTTAAACATCTTCGTCCCTTTTTGCTATTTATAGTGAGCTGTCCTGTTGGATACTTCCACAATACCTCAGATTGCCAGGCATGCGCAGTGGATCATTACCAGGATAAAGAGGCGCAGACTTCTTGTGTTCCTTGTCCATCCGGGACATCAACGTTTGGCGCGTTAGCATCTAGATGGCAGGGAAACTGTGAAGGTCTCTAAAAAAATTATACTAGATGTCTTATTTTGACTTATGATGAATTTATTTGTACTGCTGTAAACAATATTCGTATTTGACCGCTTGCCAATTCTTATTTTCATCAGCAAATTCCAAAACGTCAAATGCCGATGGGCAAGGGACATCAGGTCACCTTCTCAATGTCATCATTGCCATGGCAATAGTTGTACCAGTCATTGTAATAGTTGCTGTCGCCATCTTTTGTGTGTGGAAGCAAAGAATGTAAGTCAAAAGCATCATTTTCTTTTTTTTTTTTTTTTAATTTTTTTTTTATGGTTGTCATTATCGTCACCATAAGAATTTCTTACTGTTATTTTTACTGCCGTCGTGGTTTTTCAAAAGTGGAATAGAAACCGATAGAGTTGAGTTGCAATGGAAGATAAAGAGGTGAAAAGGCTTGGGAAGGGTAAATTGGCCTGAGCAAAGCAAGGGTGATGGTGGGGTAACCTGTTGTTCAAGCAAAATTGCCAGAGCTAGTAAAATATATGTATCAGTAAAATAACAACAGGAAGCATTTAACAAATCGTACTGAATGCCAGGCTTATTCATCGCTGAAAACCATTTCCTTCTTCCCCTCCCCCCTCCCCTCCCATTCCCTTACCGATTCATCAAGTTTCTCTGATAGTTTGCCACTTGCCCTCGATATTCAATGGTGCAAAGCATCACATTGACAATAAAGAAGTAACGTATTTTCCTCAAGATTGCATCACAGTGACCCTACCGTGGCTCAAATTTGAACCTCTCGATCAGTTGTTCCTGCGCACTATTTACCAAACCACTGCAATTCCCAACTTTGATATATTCTCTTCCCGTATCCTTTGTAATATTAGCGTCTGAAGGTTACCTCCACTACACAACAACTCACGCACAAAGCATAAAACAAATATTCTTATTTTGGCCGAGTAAGGCATTAACAAAGTTAAGATTTTGTCTTGTTTCGGAATTCCAGGGCGCGTTCGCTTGAATGACATGGCATCACATAGCAAGGTTTGATACATGCGAGCTAGTTAAAGATTCATTTCTCTCTTTCTCATCTATTTTATCGTTCCTCCCTCAGAAGACCTCAGCGAACAACGTCTGAGACCAGGGGACACAACAATCCAGCATATGAAGATCCAATGAATACCCGTGTCTATGAGGAAATTAAAGAATTGCAGTTTCCGAGTCCTCATTCCCATTATCAGTTACTGAACACGGAACCACATACTTACGCGGAGCTCCGAAACAGTCACTCTAAAGCCTAAGGAAATAGTTTGACGACTTCAGATAATCTGAGTTGAGATTCTTTTTTGTTATAGTCCTACCTTCACCGGTTTTACCCGTGGATATGCAAAGCATAGGAAAAAGCAACGCGTTAACGCGGCCTAGGAAGTCTGGGGAGAGCATACATATATCTTATATAGGATGCGAACCCAATGTTAGTTTTGGCAAATCAATTAAGGAGAGCTCTTGTAGAGATGACGGCTAATTTTGTACCGATAATGTACTGCGCAATAGCCCTTTTATCACAATTTGAACAACTGAACATTCCCTCTTGACACTTTGTTGGGAGAGTGGAAATCAAATGTCAAGGTTGTTTTGGTAAACTTAGACTTGACCCGCCGAAATAACCAATTATATTCTGCACGTTATATCCACGAGTTCATTATAATGTCACTTGGATCTTGTTATACAGTATCTATTGATGGGTTCTAGTGCGGAAGGTCTATAAGGATTAGAGGAAAGGTTCAATACTTCTTACAGGCATCGAGGGAAGCGTTATCACGGAGAAAATGGCCGCAATTCAACGATAAAACCGCCCACGTAGACAATTCAAATCCAATCCCTTGGACAGTGTAATACGTTACAATCAAAGATACACTTTGGGTGCAATGTAGAGTTACGAGTTCAGAATAAAATGTTTCATTCTTAGTTGGATTTGGATCTTTATCAGTTTCGTCATCTAACAAGAGTATCTCATCGAAAAAAAGTATTTTAAATTTCGTTTTCCAAAAGTGTTTGTAATACCGCATTTGTTCCCTTTTTCACTCGTGTCCCGCAATATTATGGAGAAGTAAAACATGTTACAATTCTACCTTCAGACGAACAACAATCTTACTAACTTTTTTCATCAATAAATAACCCCATCCCCATGCAAGTAACTTCTTTACGACATGATAATGATCACCCACGCGCTATCCAGGCTTTAATTAGGCTTTCATGAGAAATTTTTGACTGGGGAGAAGGGGAGGGAGCCCTGTGTGACAAAAATTAATGATATTTTCAACCCTCAAGTCCAATTAAAAAAAACTTGAACTTTCGTTTAAAATTTACTTCAAGATGAAAGAGGAGTTTGTAGGAATGTGGGTATTAGGAATTGTGAGCCAGTACATTGTGAGACTTCACTGCGTCACTATGAACACTACTGAAACGAGTAGTTGAAAAAAGGACTTGTACGGGCCTGAATTTTTTTCAGGTCCTATTTTCAACTACTCGTTTCAGTAGTGTTCTTAGCTGCGAGGAGCTCTTAATTTCATTTCTTCACCGCAGTGCAAATATATGAATTTTATACATCTAAAATCATCATTCACCGCGTCGTTTAAGATCTTTATCGAAGTTCGCTCTTCGATTCCACAAGAATGAGAGGTTACTTCCACTCAACCTTGGATGTTAAACGGCTACTGATGAAGAAGTAACGGGATTTTCTTTTTAGTATCCTGTGGCATGTTAGCAAATTAGTTTATCCAGAGATTTTCCTTCTACGAAGTTCGGAACAAATGATGTTTATTTCTTTAAGACAACCGCTGATCAGACTCTAGTGATTGAGGCTCACGTGGGCCTTGATGACAAGTGGCGGGGGGGAGGGGGGGAAGAGAGGAGCGGGAACGGGAGGTGAACAGCACTTTTCGATTTTTCAATTATATAGTACTGAAGCGTTAAGTGAAAAACTTTAATACGTTTCCTGTGAACAGCGAAATATCATGGATTTTGTTCTAATTTCTAATAATATCTATTTCTACTCTTTTTTCAGCTAGTAAGTCATTGTTTTTGTTAAATCGTTCTGGTGTTTGTTTTATAAAGGGCATGACAGTTTTCGAAAAATCGACCTCCAATGTTACCTTAAATTTGAGCCTCGACATGGGTCGCCACGAGTGTTCGCTGGGGTGATCAGAAAATCTCTCATAACTTGATAAATTTTGAAGATCAGATGAAGTGGATTGTGGTTCTAGAATAAGGACATGAAAGTCTTTCAATGTACAAGAAATCAGCGAAATCTATTTTTCAAGCTAGATCGGCCGGACCGCTTTTATGGATATTCTCTCTTAATTATGAATATGAATAAAAATCATCAATTTAAAAGAGCAAGATTCTGAAAAAGCAGCAATGATTAGCAACTTGAGAAATTCTTTACTTGGGTGCATATTCTGACTGTTTATTATCCGTAGAACTGCAACCTTTTGTAGCAACCTAAGAAATGAGAAAGTAATGAACTACTTGTTCAGAAATAAAAAAAAACCACATCAATTGTGCGAGTTTCCAGATCGGAATATTAAAAGCACAAGTTAAGCAAGATATTATGAAAAAATTAAAACGATCTAAGTTCTCACGTGCAAAGAAAACACAACGAGTAAACCTAAATTAAAGACCAACAACGTCTATGAATCAGCACAGTTACTAAACTATTAACACGAGTCTCTTTTCTTCTTTTCCAAAACAGCTCCAAGGTCATCAACTCTCTTTCTTTTCTGTTTTAGCCGAGATAAGTTCCTGCTGACCTCTAGTGTCCTTACATGTTCTTGACCATACTTGGAGATATAAATTACCAGTGCACGCTTATAGCAGTCTTTTGCTTCATCTGTGTCGCCCAGATCACTGTGTAAATTACCCAGATTGTTGTAAGCCCAGATCACTGTGTAAATTACCCAGATTGTTGTAAGCAGTCTTTTGCTTCATCTGTGTCGCCCAGATCCCTGTGTAAAGCACCCAGACTGTTGTAAGACCTTGCAACATCAACATGCTCAGGTCCCAGCTTTTTCAGACGAATCTCCAGTGCACGCTTATAGCAGTCTTTTGCTTCATCTGTGTCGCCCAGATCACTGTGTAAAGTACCCAGATTGTTGTAAGACCTTGCAACATCAACACATGCTGTTTCATCTGAATCTCAGTCCCAGCTTCGCCCAGATCACTGTGTTACCCAGATTGTTGTAAGAGCTTGCAACATCAACATGCTCAGGTCCCAGCTGTTTCATCTTAATCTCCAGTGCACGCTTATAGCAGTCTTTTTTAATACCCAGATTGTTGTAAGACCTTGCAACATCAACATGCTCAGGTCCCAGCTGTTTCATCTGAATCTCCAGTGCACGCTTATAGCAGTCTTTTGCTTCATCTGTGTCGCCCAGATCACTGTGTAAAGTACCCAGATTGTTGTAAGAGGTTGCAACATCAACATGCTCAGGTCCCAGCTGTTTCATCTGAATCTCCAGTGCACGCTTATAGCAGTCTTTTGCTTCATCTGTGTCGCCCAGATCACTGTGTAAAGTACCCAGATTGTTGTAAGACCTTGCAACATCAACATGCTCAGGTCCCAGCTGTTTCATCTGAATCTCCAGTGCACGCTTATAGCAGTCTTTTGCTTCATCTGTGTCGCCCAGACTAGCGCCGCTCTAAACTCACTATGGTTTAGGCACATGTAATTAAGGCTCCAAAGGCCATCCAGAAAATTACACAAGGCTCTTTCGGTCGCTTCTGGTATTCCTTTCCCGAGTGACATGTCTTCAATTTTTAAGCTCAACGTTTTAAGATGGGGAACTATTCTTGTTCCCACAACAATAGATTCTAGCTCTTCAAATTTTGAGAAAGACATTACCGCGCCATACACCACTTTGTGGCTTTGATCCTTTGCGAAACCTTTTGTCGCAGATTTAATAACATCAAGAACGACACCATGGACTCGAATATAAACACCAGTTGATTCTTCTTCAATTAGCAACAGTGAACATCGACTCATCCTCGTTCTTATCATATCTTCATCTTCAAATTCGTCATCAGTTGTTTTAACATACTCGATAATAATGTCTTGCAGTATCGGCTGTGATGCACACATTGAAAGAAAAAGGAAAATGTGATGCAAAACTATATCATTTTCCATCACCATTTCGACAGCGATTGTTATTGCTTTGGTCGTGGTCTACGGATAGGCTGGATTTGTTGCAGCAAGAATGCTTTCAGTATTACTTCGTGTCCCTTCTTCCAATTTCTTCAAATAGTCGGTCCAGCCAAATTTCGAGGTTCCTTTATTCTGACGAACTTGTCTCACATACGTGGCTGCGGCTGCCAATGAAAGTGGCTGGTAGTCTAGTTCTTTCGCAATTTCTTTTTCCATCTTGGCATCTGAGATACCAGAAAGGAGGTTAAGCAGAAAGCACGCATCATCAGGATGCATTCCTGCGCTGAGTGAGATATTTCGTATGGAAGAGCTTGACAACGGTATAGACGCAGTGTCTTGTGTTGTTATTAGCATCTGACCCCTTGCCCACAACTCGCTGTCTGCATCTGGCAAATAATCGCTTGTACGAGATTCGCTGGTCACATTATCAACTACCAACAGCCATGAAGCGTAATGCTCAATTTTTGTACTTATTAAGGTCTTGAAATATGAAATCTTCTCGTCTGTGTTCAAATCCTTGGAGCCGTAAGTGTTTGTTATTTCATACCCGGGACATTTGCAATGTTGAGCGAAAAGGACATACGATTTCAAAAGTGCTTCTGAGTTTTCAGCATTCAACGTCATGACAAATGAAGCTGCGGAAGGTATTTGTTCGACCTCGTCGTAAAATCGCCTGGCTGCTAAACGGGCCAGCTGAGATTTTCCACTTCCTGGATTTCCTGACAAATACAGTATGCTCAACCCATCATTGGCGTCTTTTAGTGTTTGGAGGTTTTGTAAAACTTCACCAACTTCAGATTCCCGACGAGCGATGTCGTGGCTAGGTTTGGGAGGGAGAATACAAAATGGAGAGACATCGAAATTTAATTGCTCTTCTAGGGCAAGCCTCTGTTCTTCTTTCACTTGAAGTTCCTCTTCTTTGTCTTTAACTTCTTGTTTCAAGTCGTCAACCTTCCTTAAAACTTCGTTTAACTCCTCCGTTAAGAAGTTTGTCTGATTTTGAACTTCGTTGATTTTCAATGTCGGGAGACCGAGTGCGTGGAATGCAGTTTTAACCTTTGTAATAACAATTTGGAAATCTCCGTTGGAGAGGTGGCCCCGTCGCATATGTGCAAATTCTTCATTTCGAAATTTCCTTAGGTCGTCCACATTTGATCTAATTGATGGATTGAGTGAATATATGCAATCTGAATACAGGATAGCGTAAAACAGCATGGTACAATCCCACTCAGCTCTATCGCCATTCTTCATGGTTGTCACTACAATACAATACAATATTTATTTGCCATATACGACATTTACAGATGGAAAAAAAAATGAAGAAAATTGATGACAGAAAATAAATGGCGAGAAAACCTGAAAGAAACCACGAGGCTTATAACAAGTCAGGCTTTCTCACTTAAAATAAGTAATCTTATATTAGAATTACAATATGGACTTATGGTAATTAACTTTGACCGCGCACACGTACACACACACACACGCACACTCATATTAAGTAAGTTAGTTAAGAATTACTGCCTTACAGAAGCTAATACCTAGAGAGAAGAAATTCCTTAAGCTTTCTTTTAAAAGAAGGGGAGGAGGGAGAACTAGTTATGTCAGAATTTAGCGAATTGTAAAAGTTTGGACTTGAAAGTAAATTGAAAACTTCCTGGTGTTCGTTCTGCACAGTGGCAAACTGAGCATTCCTTGTATTATAATTGTGGATTTGACTATTCAGTAAAAAAAAGTTATTGAATTTGGAAGGGAGTGTAGAGTTCTCGAATGAAAACATAAAAGTACCTAATTGAAACAAATGGATATCATGAAATTTTAAGAGTTTAAGTTCCTTAAAAATAGGGCCAGTATGGGCAATGTATGTAGAATTGCTTACTATTCTTAACGCACGTTTCTGTAAGGTTACAATTCTTTGAAGGTTTGACTTATAGGTACCAGCCCAAGCTAAATTGCAATAATACAAATATGGAAGGATCATAGAATTGTATAAAGTGCGAAGGGAGTGAGTAGAGAAAAAAAAAACCTAGATTTATGAATAATACCTATAGATTTGGATAATTTATTTGCTGTTAAGGATATATGCGATTTCCAGGTCAAATTGTCATCTAATAAAACACCCAAAAACATGGTCTCAGAAACACGAAGAGTAGGCTGCTCATTTATGAAAACTTGAAATTCAAAGGATTGCTTCTTCCAAGGCTTGAATACCATAAAATTAGTCTTGGCTAAATTCAAGGAGAGCCGGTTTGCTGCAAACACAAATCGATAAGCGCAAGGCTAGGAGAGCGATTTTTTCTAAAGCCATATTGATTATCACATAAGACATCGGAGTCATTGAGATAATTTATAATACGGTTGTAAATTATTCGTTCCAAAAACTTTGAAAAGCACGGTAGAACAGAAATAGGTCTGTAGTTGCTGAAGAGAGCTTTGTCACCTGATTTAAAAATAGGTATGACACGAGCAATTTTCAATTCATCCGGAACGATACCATGAGTAATGGAGAGATTTACAATGTGTGTTAATGGAGAGGAAACGCTGCATATAGATCGCTTTATGATAGACATAGGGATATTGTCATACCCAGCCGATTTTCCCGCCGGAAACGTAGATGCGATATCTATAATCTCCTCCTGAGTTGCTAAATTTAGGAACATTGACTGAGAGAAATGACCAAGAAGAAAATTCTTATACGAGGTCGTAGATTGAATTCGTTTAGCGAGGTTTGGTATAATATTGCTGAAGTAATGACAAAATCGATTAGCAATCTCCATTGGGCCAGAAATATCTTGATCATCAACCTTAAACACAGAGTTGGGTTTAGGTCTCAATTTCTTGCTGTTTAGGACCTCATTAAGCAGACGCCAAGTGGCTCTTATATTGGATTTTGACTCGCTTAGCCTCTTATCATAATATAAACGTTTCGCGATTCGTAGGGAGTGATTCAGTTTGTTCTTATATGTTTTATATTTCGCTTCGTTCCAGAGAGAGGGGTTTTGAAATATACTGCTTGTATAGTTTGTTTTTCTGCTTGACAGATTTAAGTAAGCCCTGGGATATCCACGGTTTCCTAAAGTGAAGGCGACGCTTCAGTTTCTTCAAAGGAAAATGTGTTTCGTAAGCTTTAGTGTATCGCTCAAGAAATTTGCTGTAGCAGATTTTAGGATCATTATACCCGTCTATATTGAGCCAATCAATACAATCTAATTCCTCTAGGAAGTTGGAAATGTTTAGCTCGCTTTTGTCACGGACAAATATGTTCTCTTGGTGTTCGCGGGTACACTTATGATCGAAGCAAATGGAAAAGATAGGCAGATGGTCCGAAATATCCGTTATTAATAGTCCAGACTTCAAATAACTGTGCTCGACATGGTTAGAAAAAATGTTGTCAATCAGAGTTGCAGTGTGAGAAGTAATTTGTCAACAGCCCAGCGTTTCTTTTTCTGTTTCGAGTAGACTCGCCATTCCAGAAGTCCATTCCATTTTTGGGTTGATCTTTCCATTCTCCCGTTGTTGTCTTGTATCGATTGTCCCATTCTTGTTTGAAGATGGTTCGCAGACCCTCAGTTAGTATGTCAGTGACAACGTAACAAATCCTGTAGTAATTCAGTTGCTCTGTGGTGTACTTCAACACAGTGGCCATTATCAGTTACATCCTATTAAAACCATAGCTATGTTAGTACCCAATAGGATTATTTCTATCCTATCTATCTATCTATTGAAATTAGGACTGCAGCCAATGCGATTGGCTGCAGTCCTACACTCCTGGTAGAGTCACCCATGCAGAACATGTCGAAAGGTAAAAACCAGACTAAGAGTGATCCCCTGGAACTCAAGTTGGAGGATGGACGCAAGGTTAACGACCCTGCCCCGTAGAAAGAAACACATGTTACAGAAGCCGGATGCATCGACAATACAACTCAAACCGGGGGTGTTGCTGCTGGGGCCGTAATGACGCTCTTGGGCCAAAGCCGGCGGGAAAAATTCAGGAAGGGAAAGAGGCAAAACTTAAAATAGAGGGTGCGTGAACGGAACGACTAAAACAGCGATGGAGAGAGGAGTATAGTGCGAAAGAAAAGGAAGTGAAAAATAGTGCTGGGGAGGATAAGAGGAATTGGTTGGAGGAGAGGGGAAAAGGCTGGTGAGGATGGTAGAAACAAGGAGCTATACAGCATAGCCAGGACAATAACCGGGGAACGGAGGAGGCGAAAAGTAGGTGTAAAAGACAAACAGGAGGTGCTTAAGACATCCTTCGACTCGGTTCACAGAGAAAGCATGTGGAACATCATGGGGAGCTATGGAATTCCGCGCAAGATAATGAGCGTGATAGTAGGCATATACGAAGGATTTTAATGCGCCTTAATCGAGCTATACAGCATAACTAAGAGCGGAGGAGGCAAAAAATATGTGTGAAAGACAAACAAGGGATGATTGAGACAGAATCAAAAGAAAGATTGCAGAGATGGTTGAGCATTTGAGT